TCTACTTCTTGAATTGAGAATGTTCGTTCTTAAAAACCTCGTAAGTACATTTTGGTTCAATGTTCCCAATATTATAACGAAATGGTGAGAAGAAGATATTTAAATTAAGTTTATTTAACATTATTTTGATAAGTAAACGCTACTGACGGGGAATAATAGTTTAAGTGTTGAGATAAATAATGTAAATACCGTCAATTCAATTTGATGCAAGCACAATGAAAACATTTTCAACTTCAAAAATGTCGTTCTGTTTTTAAGAACAATTTCAATTTAGAATTCTCTCCGTGCACCCATAAAAAATTTAATAAGAAAAGGTGTTTGACTACGTACGAAATAGGGATATTAAGCCATTCTTCCTATAAAAGCACAGACTTTTCTTACCTTTGCTTTGGAATTCTCTTGGATTCGATTATCCTTTCAAAATAATCTCTCGGTTGGGTTAACCTGACCCGCATTACTATAAATATGCATTCGTTTCAAGGATGGCCTCAACGACCGAGACCGATGCCGACCTGACCTATTCCAAGCCCTGACAACGAGATCCGAGGCCAGCAAAGCGTGAAATTTCAATTTAACCCATTAATAAACCCAGCTGAAAACTTCCAGCGAATGCAATCAGAAGCAGAGGGAAAGACACAAAAATAGACAATAGTCAAAGGCGGAGAGTGCCCCACCAACTATTCATATCCCATCCCCGGTTCCTCGTCTAACTCTTTGGTTAGTCATCTCTTGGAGCGGCAGCGGCCACAAAACAACTTTGGACTACATTTCACAGGAGCCGCACACACAAACACACACATAGAGAGACAGAGCCTGCCACGCCCACAATTTAGACGATTTCACACAACACAATGGCATAGGGGGCGGGCCGAAACGGGGGTGGGGCAGCACTTCCGTTTCCGCTAGCTTGCACTGATTGTTTTATATCCTGTCAGAGGACACGCCGTTGCCGAAATTCACAAACTTGTTTTGCGCTTTCTTGGCGACTTGACTAAGAAGCGGCAGCATGCACTCAACAAAATAACTGATGAATGGAGTCTGGTGAAAATTTTTAAAATTTCAAGGAACTTATTGTTGTCTTAACTTATAAGCCTAATAACTTAAAGGAACTAGAATTAAATTCTATACTTAATTGAAGCAAAATCAGTTAATTTTGAAAAGGTGTAGCATTTGTTTATAATTATACAAATTACTTAATTTAATTTAATACATTCCAAGCATTTGGATAATTCCTAAGATTCTTGACTAAAAATTACAGTTTAGAGCTTGTCTGATTCCATAGCAATGCTGTTGTTTTTTAAGAATAATATTTTTTAAAATTAAATCAGAACATAAGTGTTATTTCTCAATTTGTAACATTATAAACCAAACACCGGGCACAAAACATAAAATGCCTATTGCTTACCATAAAAATATGAATTTAACATATTTTGGAGGTCTTGCTTGTCAGTCCATATATATCTTGTGTAACTCTTATCCCGCAATCAGCAATAATTTCGCGGAGTGCAGTGAGATGGTGGATTGTTGGATTTCGGGTCCCTCGACTGTCGTTGCATTGCTGCGGCATTTGAATGCGGTCCTCGTCCAGCGGCGTCCTGCGAGAGAGCCCAGCATCCTTGCATATTTAATCAAAGTGAATTACAAATGCCACCAGACAATGACAGTGGCAACTTGGCAAATGACGATGGAGTCGACGCCTTCCACGCCCCGTCCTTATCAATTTGAAAGTGTTATATATAACACCAGGACCAGCGCGGAGATAATGTTTCTTTGTTGGTTGAGCAGCGGGGAGCGAAGAAGTCGGGGAGGTGTAGCTTGTAATTTGCGTTAGCGAGATCAAAAAGCATTCAGTTAATAATGAGACGAGCAGTCCATTATTTAGCCATTGATGGGAACCGAGCACTTGCCGAGTCCTTCCACCTAAGAAATACAGCACCCAGCCTTAAAAAAGTTAATTTATTTCTTTTTCGCAGCTCCTTTCCAAGTACCCAAAAAGAATGTATTCAGAGAAAGAAGGAAAGTTAACTTTATGGTTGGCACCTTTTTTTCCCTTGAACGTACTTTTCAACTTCCCTTACCTTTGCCTTTCAGGGGCTTCCCCCGTGCTTAACCCAATCTCGGCCCAGGGGCGACAGTTTAATAATTACTCATTTTGCTTTTTTAACCAAATTACTTTGTGAAAAATGGCAAAGTTGAATGCAAAACGGTTTCCATTTTCTATATAAACCTTTCTGATTTTAATTTCAGTGGCTTGTACCTCATTTACCCTTTTCTTTTGGGGCTTGATAAGATTTTACATTTGTTTTTTGGGGTTTTCGTTTTTTCTAAAATTTCGTATTTAATTAAAATGTTTTGACCTTTCTGAACAACTTCTAGGAATCGTTTAAATTATAAACATAATTAGAAAATTTAAATTAAAAAAAATAATTTCTAGAAAATAAACTTGATTTGTTAAACGGTAATTTATTTTAATTGTTTTGCCCACGCAAGAAGTCGGCAACAATGTAGCAGAAAAATCAAAATCAGGCACGTGGCAATTGAACTGAACATTTCCACAAAAGTACCACAAAGAAAAAGAAAACAATTTGTTCCCTTGACACCGCCCATTTTATATTCACATTCCCGTCGAGGCACGCATAATTTTTGACGCATAGAAATTTGTCTGCATTTCGAATTCAAAATAGTTCGGTTACACGAGTGAATAAAAATCCCTATGGGTGCAATAAGAATTCCAGGAAAAAAGCGTAAGTGGACCCAAGACATGAAACTTTCTAGCCGGACCCAAGCAAAATATTTTTATGCACTGCGGTGAGTCGGTATCGTTTTATGGACTTTGATTTTATGACTACTGCATATTTGCCATGTGTGCCCGAAGGGAGGTGACTCAGGGAAAGCCTCCCATCCAGTTTTCCCCACTTTCCGTTTTGGGCTGACAGCTGCTGCGCCACTTTCAATTAACCCTTTTGACATTGAATTCACTTGATACCGTCGGAGCTGCTCGCACTGGCTTAAATCGAGATTAGAATGCTGGAAATTGGAGACCACACCCCATTCCTCCTTCAAACCGAAGACCTTTGTATAACTTAATAAGGCCGCCATGCAACCAACTCGCGGAGCCTGACTTCCCATCCTTTGCCACATCTCTCGGCTTAAGCCTATAATTTACAATGTTTCGGCTCGTCTTGACTTGGGATCCCTTCTTCGGTTCCTGGGATACGAAAAATTAACATTTCCTTGCCGTCGCTTACGATTTTCGGTAAGCATTTTTTAACTGGAAATTAAAGTGCGCGCAAGTGTAATTAAGTAGCTGCTCAAGTTATACGAGCAATCCCTTTCTTGGCCATTTCTCAGCAGGCCAGTCGACTGTAAATGGGTTAAACTCTTGGGATTTATGACAATTTTTTAATTAGTTGACGTTGCCGTCCGTCGCCTTTCGTTTTTCGGGGCTTCCTTATTAATCAAAATCGTTTACGCGTAAACAAACTTTTTCTATGCTATGCTCACAAAATTTTCCATCGTTTATTAATGAAAATTTTAAAATGCATATGCAAATTTAAAAACTTTTAGGTGTTTGCTAAAATTTTCTTATGGGAAAAGTTGGAGCATTTTATTTTCATATCAGTTGTTCAGTTGTTGCTTCGCTAAATTTTCTGGCACACGAGTTCTTTGGCATTGATTGGAAAGGTAGAAACACATTTACCCAAAATGCGACAAAGTTCACAACAACCCAGCATAATTGTAAAAAAGTTAACTAATGACATTTGTAAGATGGTAACATTTGTCCTACAATGGATTTAAAATTTAAGCTTTTTTTAGAAATAAACGGACCACACAGTAGTTTGAGTTCTGTGTGAGTCACTTACCATAATAATAAAAATTTATAAAAGGACTGGATATTTTTTATCTTCGCTTTGCAAGTAAGTTGAATTTTATAGTTCAATTTTCTATGTACACCATTTGGAGAGGAACTCACTATTTTCTGCTGACGACGTCCAAAATAATTTCCACACTTTGCTATGAGGCGTTAAATGACATTGCATTTTTATAGCAAATAAAAAACTGAGAACCACACAAACAATTTGATACTATAAACACTATTGTTTGACATTCCATAGACGCCAAATAAATGAGAAATCCCGTAAACAAATCGAATATGAATCTCTGTGTAACTACTGTTGTTGAGTACTTATAACTGCGTTGAGCCTAAATTCAATTTTTAAATTGCGATATTTTTGTTCTTACAACTAGGCGACTCATACTCGTAATATCACTTAGATTATAAGACTGGCAGTCAGTATTACCAGATTATAAATGTGGAACCCTATCGATCTTATCGGAACTTTCCTTTCAGACAAAACGTTATTATCAGTTAAATACAACATTATTTTGTATATTAAAATGCCTTTGCTTGCAATTTTTGCAAACTTGTAGAAACAATTTTTTCCTATTTTTGTGGTGATTACAAAAAGTATACATTTAAAATTAGTTTTAAAATATACCGAATATACCACATACCAAATATTCCATATTAACGGAAAAAAACATAAATGTTATTGAGGCGTTAAGGTTAACAGCGAGCGAATAATGAAAGCAGTAAAAGCAGTTCATGTTAGCTGCGCGCGCAGCTTTAATTTAAATGTTAGCATGTTTACTCAAAGATTAATTCATATTGCTTGCGTAGCTTATGATGAAACCCATTACCGTGGCAATTGCATGATCTATAACCCCGATCGTTAATGGGATTTGGCAGGTTTTAACCCGCTCAGAGTTGACATAAGGTCCGACTTATTAACACATACGAGAGCTCACAAAGTAATCATTAAAAAGCAATTACACAGAAGACACGAAACAGCTGTGTGGAGTGAGTAGTGAGTAGCGGCCCGCTACGCTTATCAGTCGTGATATTCTACTTCTATATTCTCGCCATATGTTTCGGTGCAGCGACAACTACTCATATTGCGATAAGCGGCGGGCGTGATTAAAGCCCCAACTGAATTGAGGCTGCTGGGGGTTTTACTGGCAGTCGAACTGATAGATCAAATCGTACGGTTCTCAGCTCGGTTCAGTTGTTCCTCGTCGATCGCGGCCTGCGGAAGTGCTACTATCACTCGTTCACCGCATCGGATTATACCGTTCAATCTGACCCTTGGATTTACTCTATAAATAGTAGTAGTGACAATAATTGGCATCGCCAGCCATGGAGATCCGAGTGGGAGTGGGCGATCTGCTGAAAATGGGCACCAAGTAGGTCAACTACAGTGAAAGCTCTAGTGAGATGTTTACATCGTTGTGTTTCATTCTTCAGTTTTACTGAATTAAATTGTAGTATGCCAGTGAAAACAATGTCTAATCTCAAAAATGATAAGGTTTAATAAGCATCGAAGTACTCACAATTATTGGATTGTTCGACTATGGATTATAAACTATAGACTATAGTCTACTTTGCCTTTTTCCGGACAAAATTGAAAAACACTCGAACATTTCCAGAAATTGATTGTAAAATATCACCATCCTTATTTCTTATTTTAGTCCGCTTATTGCATCTGTTAGTATTATCATTTATAAAATCTGATTTTATATAATTTAACATAGTACAAAAGTTTAGTTATCTGTTACTTTTGTCAAGATGAAAATATAAGCCGGATTAAAGGGGCTTTTTTACACATTATTTGAAAAATTTGTGTATGTAATATTCTGCAACAGCAAAATCCTAAATAACTGTCGTATATTATATTCCAAAAAAAATCGATATCTTTTGTATTTTTAACTTACTTTTGGGTATAACCGAAAAATTGTAACACACCGCCCTCTTATATCTTTTGATTATAATATCGCGTCTTGCTTGTTTGCAAGTGATTTGTCAATATAGTAGCCTTTTAAAGGAGCTTTTACTGTACTCAATTGATGGTTCCGCTCTCGCACCGATAAGATAAGAAAAGCTTATTATTAGACCCAATCATGTCGCACTCTCTCATTAACCCCTGGCATACCGAACAAAAATCAAGATCACTGAACGAAAGTTAAATAAGCAATGTGTTTAAATAGGCTGCAGTAAAGAGGGGAATTTATGAACCGCATTGCCATAAAATCTTTTTCATGGAAAAATAACAAGGCTTAAAAAGAAAATTCAAAATAATGCTAAATTGGTATATGTATCTTTTCTCACAGGCTCATTGGCCACAAGATCGTCCAGTACCGCCTGGGCACGAAGCAGACGAAGGTGGTCTGCACTAGGGACGGACAGGTGCGAGGACTCCGCCGCAGAACGCTCTACGATGAGGAGCTGTACTTCGCCTTCGAGGGAATCCCCTTTGCTCAGCCGCCGGTGGGAGAATTGCGGTTTCGAGCCCCCCAGCCACCCCGCCCCTGGACGGGGGTCAGGGACTGCACCTATCCGAGGGCCAAGCCCATGCAGAAGCACTTCGTCCTCAGCATTATCGAAGGCAGCGAGGATTGCCTGTACCTAAACGTGTACTCCAAACGTCTTAAATCGGACAAACCGCTGCCCGTGATCGTGTGGATATATGGTGGCGGATTCACGATCGGCGAGGCTAGTCGAGATTTTTACAGTCCAGACTACTTTATGCAGCAAGACGTAGTCGTTGTCACATTTAATTATAGAGTGGGTGCATTGGGTAAGTGGTTGAAATTCACATCTAGCTGTAATTTGGTTTTATATAAATACCATATCTAGTTAGAATGTGGATCGCGTGATATTAGACGCGATATGGGTAACTGAGTTTGAGTAAAAGTGTGGATGGTGTGTGGGTAAGGTGTGGATCGCGTGATATTAGACGCAATATATAGAATTATTAGTTTGAGTAAGGGTTAAGTCTGAACTTTTTTGGACTTTGTGGGAAAAGGTTGATTCTTTTATGATGACTAAGGCTTTAGCTTAAAATAAATAAATCTTTCTTATTTGTATTCAAACATTAGAATGATTCTTAAATATTATAATGCTCACAGAACCCATCTTTAGGGAAGTCTACACTACTCAAATTAGACGTTGCATTCTCCATGTTATGCAAACTCAATTTCAATCGGAAATAATTCACATACTGTATAGTTTAATTGCCCACTACTGTCACATCGTCATAAAATCATTAGACTACTATTACTTTCGTTTAAGCTGTAATTATTATCACCTGAACGATCAATTAAAATAATGTCGATTTGTAACTGTACACTAGGGTTGACTTTATTAAGATCAAATGAGCTCACCATCTGAATTGGTAGTTTTCTGTAGGATAGTGCAGGGTCATAAAATTAATATTTTTCAAAAGTTTAAAAGCAGAAAGCTGCTGACGTCTATTGCGCACATTCCTGTTCTATAATTAAAATACAGCGGAGTTAAGTACTACAGCTCTTGGCGTAAACCAATATTATATATATACCGATAGGTTAACTATTTTTTTAGTTTATAAACTTTTTACTATTGCAAAAGCAAAATACACACAGCATGTACAGTTTACTATGGAGGTATAACGATAGGTTAACTATTTTTGTTAGTTTATAAACTTTTTACTATTGCAGTAGCAAAACACGCACAGCACGTACACTTTCTATTTTAATAGTGGCTTAACTTAATAGTAAAACCATTTTTAATAGTAAAGTACAATATTTTAAAGTTACTAAACAATCTGCATTGGTCAATTTTACCAACAAAATTTTTTTGTGTGTAACAATGTTGAAAATATTTTAATTAATATATTTCAAACTTTAAATTAATTAATTTTTATTGCAACCCTTTTACATATTGCTTGAAATGTGAACCTTGCGTTGAATTTTTATAGTCATAGGGTTTTTTGGAATCACAAAACTTATTTTTAATTCTGTAACTTTGTCCCAATTTAAGCACACAAAATGAACACGCATTTTTATAGGTTTATCAAAGTTGTTACTGTGTTACAGGCTTCCTCAGCCTCTCGGATCGGGACCTGGATGTGCCCGGCAACGCTGGCCTCAAAGACCAAGTGATGGCCCTTCGCTGGATCAGTCAGAACATAGCCCAATTCAACGGAGATCCCCAGAACATAACCCTGATGGGCGAGAGTGCGGGGGCGGCTTCCGTTCACATGATGATGACCACAGAGCAAACCCGTGGCCTCTTTCACAAGGCCATCATGCAGTCGGGATCCATGTTCTGCGAGTGGGCCAATGAGCCCAGTGGCAGGTGGGCGTACCGCCTGGCCTGTCAGTTGGGATACTCGGGAACTGAGAACGAGAAAGAGGTGTTCCGGTTCCTCCAAAAAGCCCCCGCCTCCGAAATGGCCGCCCACGGAATCACCCTCGTTTCCCAAGAAGAGAGGCGAGACTACGTCCTGTTTCCCTTTACGCCCGTGGTGGAACCATATATAACCAGGGACTGTATTTTGCCCCGTTCCCATAGAGAGATGCTGCCCGCAGCTTGGGGTAATGACCTGCCTTTAATCCTGGGAGGTAACTCCTTCGAAGGCCTATTTTCCTACCAGACCACCCTGCACGATGAGGAGCACATGCTGAGTGCCTTCGAAGCCCTGATTCCGCGAGAGATCAGGGAAAAGAGTTCCCCATCTCAACTCAAGGATCTGGTGCGTCAGTTTAAGGTGGATAATTTCGAGGATGCAACCCGCGGGCGCATGGAGTTCAATGAGTGCCTCCAAATACTCTCCGTAAAACACTTTTGGCATGGCATCCACCGCACTGTACTGGCCCGTCTCAGCCACGCCCCCACTACGCCCACCTATCTGTACCGCTTCGATGTAGATTCGCCCCATTTCAATCACTTCCGGCAGGTGATGTGCGGAAAACACGTTCGCGGAGTCAGTCATGCCGATGACGTTTCCTACCTATTCTACCACATTCTGGCCAACAAGGTGGAGAAGTCCTCGATGGAATACCAAACTATACAGAGAATGGTGGGCATGTGGGTGGCATTCGCCCGAAACGATAATCCCAATTGTCCACAGATCAGTCCGACCACCTGGGAAGCCTTAGATGAGGAAGGTCCGCATATGTGTCTCAACATTGGAAAGCAACTGGAGTTTATTGAGCTACCAGAGTCCAAGCAGAATCGGATTTGGGATAGACTTTACGATAAACACGACCTGTACTAGAGGGGAGTTTGTATATTTTGTAAATAAAACGGAACTGGCCTAGAAGTTAATTTGGTTTTGAACAAAAATTTGTGATAATTATAAGCACTGAAAGTCATTGAAACTATATATTTTTTTAATTTAAAAATTATTCTCATTCAAACGAACTTGTCCAAAAATAGTTCACTTTAAAAGTTAATAAACAAATAAGCTTAATTACTTCAAAAACTAATTATTTTGTATGCAATTAAGGATTTTTCATTTAGGTCTTGTTACAGGTCAAATTACATATATACAATGTATGATGCTTGAACTAGCTAAATAAAACTGGTTTGGGTGATCACTTAATCACAATGCAAAAATAGTTCGCTTTTAGCAGGTAGTTTTCCATCAAATCACCTCAAACTTGACCCGGGCAGTGACTCGAGCCAGAAGTACTAAGCATTTTAATTTAATTTCAACCAATTAAATTAGTATATGTAGTTGTGTCACTTATTTATTTAAAATAAAACATTTAAATCATTCCAATTAAGGATTTTTTTAAAAGTTGTCTTTGAACGCAAGGGCAGCTTTCCAAAAGATAAGAGCTTAACAATTTATTTTATATGACGGTGCAAAAAGTGCCCTTATCTATAATTTCTATTTATATGTTTGACATATTTAAAATATGTATATATACAAACAATATACCTACATAGTTATCTATACACACATAATTCATAAACACTGATATATTATTACACCCGTTACTCGTAGAGTAAATGTATGTAACAGGTAGAAGAAAGCATTTGGGACCGTATGAACGTTGAGATCTAGAAAACTGTAAGCTAGAATGTTAAGATTAAGCATGGAGCTTCAGCAGAGTGCGCGCCCATTCTTAAAAAATTTAAATGAGATTTTGTTGTAATTATTAATGCCCAAGTACATGCCAAAAATTATTCAATTCTACTACTTGTATATCTCTATCCCCCCGTACTCCATGAGGGCTCACAGAACACTTAGCTGAGTAACGGGTATCTGACCTTTTTCTTGTTTCATTAAAGTTTTTTTTTGTATTTATTTTGTGAATTTAAAAACATATTACAAAAATGCAAAAAAAGTAGAACTCTTATATTATAAAATTAATGGCCGTAATAAAATTTGTAATCTCAACAAGATATACAAAAGTTTTTCAAAATTGTACAATATTAACGCTATGCTAAGGAAACTGGACAATTCACACGATTAGTAGACTTGTTCTGATTTTTACTTCACAGAAAGTTTGTTTAACACGATTTCACTATAAAACCGTTTTTTTCAACAAAAATACTTTTAACATTTATGACCTCTAAAGTGAAAACAGATATTATATTAAGATTTCAGAACTAGAAAAGGTCTTCCCTGGGATAGAATAAATCCCACACTGCCAAGGACTCCGCCTCGGGCAGTTCTCGCATATCCAGTTCATAGCTGATGTTGAAGCACTTTTCTACGCCATTGTCTATCAGCTGAACGGGGTCCCACTTGGCAGTTCCCAGTTCCGGACAGTTAGGATTCCCACTGGAGGCAAACGATGTCCACATGCCCACCATTCTCTCTATGGTTTGGTACTCCATCGATGTTTTCTCCAACTTTGTGGCTATGATGTTGTAAAAGAGATACGACAATTCATCGGCATGGGCCACTCCGCGAATGCGATCTCCGCAAACCAATCGCCGGAATTGATTAAAGTGCGGGGAGTCGAAGTCGAATCGGTATAGATAGGTGGTCGATTTGGGAGAATACTTTTGACGGGCGAGAACCAAGCGATGCATGTCGTGCCAAATCTGGCGATGGGAAAATATGTTTAGGGCCTCAAACACCTTCATTGAATCCCGCATTTCGTCCTTAAAGTAGAGCTTTTTCATACGCCGAACAAGTAGGTCCTGTTCCTCCAGACAGCTGGCTTCTCTCACCTCCCTCGGCAGAATGTTGTGGAAGTTCTTCAGGCCCCAAGGATCATTTCTTAGCACTTGGTAGGAAAACAAGCCCTCAAAGGAATTTCCTCCCATAATAACGGGTATATCGTTGCCCCAGGCTTTGGACAACAGCTCCCTGTGTCTTTTGGGTACCACACAGTGGTCGGTCTCATAGGGCTCCACCACCGGACCAAAGGCGTACAGTAGGAAACTCCGAATTTCATCCTGGGTGATCACGTCCTGGTCAATGGCCGCTATCTTACGAGCGGAAGTCTTGCCGAGAAAACTTAATATATCTGCATCATTATCGGGGCCTTTATAGCCCAAATTCTGAGCCAGACGAAAAGCCCAATTGTGATCCGGACTTTCCGCCCATTCGCAAAGAGCACATCCGGATTGCATGATGGCCTTATGGAACAGACCACGTGTTTGCTCCGTGGTCATCATCATGTGAACGGAAGCCGAACCTGCACTTTCCCCCATTACAGTAATATTGTTGGGGTCGCCGTTGAAGTAAGCGATATTTTGGCTGATCCAGCGCAGTGCCATTACCTGGTCTTTCAGCCCCGCATTTCCAGGTACATCTAACTTCGGATCCTTGAGGCTGAGAAAACCTAATCAAGAAATATAATACATTAAATATTGAATATAAAAGGTCATCAAAACTGAAATATATAATGCCTAAGTTGTTTAACTATACAACTATGTAAGTACAAAGTACATTGCACATATATATAGTATGTGAATCTATCATCATCAATAAGTATGTAAATCTAATTAGTGCCAAATTTTCTTTTTTGTATTTATTTTGATGTTTGTTGAGATAGGGGTTTATCATTTTGTTTTCACAATTACTTTAATTTTTACTTTTGAATAAGATCTGGGATTAATACTGTAAATGCTTCTTGTGCCCATAAGAAACATTTTAGTGCTTGCCTCCTCAAACATTATTCGGTTGGTTCACTATAAGTGTTTTTTATGTTAATTTAAGCGTTGATTGTGACTACCTATTATGTTGATAAAGATTATACGTATCAATTGAATTATACGTTTTGTCATTAAATACGCTTTGGTCTATCGCTTGTATATAATCACATCCGCGATTAAAAATCCAACAACAAATGCATTTGATCTTTTTAAACGCAAACCGAATATAGTAAGTACGATTTGCCTTAATATATGCATTTTCCAACCCACTGTTCTCTTAATAGGAGATGTTAACCCAAGAACTTACCCAGTGCTGCCAACCTGTAGTTGATGGAGACGAGCACCACCGGCTGCTTCATGAAGTAATCGGGGCTGTAAACATCCCTGGAGGCCTCGCCCTTCTGGAAACCCCCTCCGTAAATCCACACGATCACGGGTAGGGGTTTCTCAGACTTCAGAGTTTTCGCATACACATTTAAGTGCAGACAATCCTCGCTGCCTTCTACGATCCCCAAAAGCATATTTCTCTGCAGGGGCTTGGACCGATTGGTGGTACAATTGAGTACTCCTTGCCAGGGTTCCGGTGGCTGAGGTGCCTTGAATCTGAGGTCTCCCACCGGCGGCTTGGCATATGGAATGCCCTCAAAGGCGAAGTAAAGTTCCTTATCATAGACCGTCTTCCTTAGAAGTCCTCGAACCTGTCCGTACTTGGTGTCCAAAATCACAGTGTGACCTGTGGACAGGCGGTACTGCTGATACTTGTGTCCCACCAACCTGCGGGAGAGATTTGGGGGAAACCTGGGGTTACTGGGCCAGACAGCGTGCGATAAGCGATAAGTAATGATAACCGGTGGGAGTGGGTCACACCAAATCCAAAGTTAGGGATTCCCTAAACAGGACCTTGGCCCTGTGTTAATGTACTCACTGGGCGCTCATCTTGAGCAACTTTGGCCATCCCACATTAACTTCCATAATTTTGTCTGCACTTCAATTGCTTTGGTTTCTGTGAGCCTGAATTCGGACACTAGGTTTTTAGATGCGTTCGCGGTGTTTTTGGATCGATCGACGTTTCTCGTGAGACTGAGCGCAGATATCAGGCGGCAGCACCTTAAACCAGGAGAGACGCCGACAGCACATGAATACACCCAGTAATCTTTTCCGCAATCGCGTACAGCTACGGTAAGGCAACGAAACACGTAATTCAACTATTCTCATATGATCCGCTTTCATGAATGCAACACTTCAGAAACTAATTTCTTTCCTTTTTTAGGATCTTTATTTTTAATTTGGAAATAAATATATTTTGTTGTTTTAAAATATTATGTTTTGATTTTAATTAAAGCTTTTATAATTGATGCTAATGTTAGAATATATAAGTGCGCATTTTTAATTTAGGTGTATATGAGCGTATGGACATAAATATTTATATTCTGTCTAAATTCACTTTTTATACCCTTGCAGAGGGTATTATGATTTCAGTCAGAAGTTTCCAACGCAGTGAAGGAGACGTTTCCGACGTTTTCTTGATCAGCATCACTAGACGAGTCGATCTAGCCATGTCCGTCTGTTCGAATGAACGCTAAGATCTCGGAAACTATAAGAGCTAGAGCGTTGGGACTTGGTATGCAGATTCTTGAGCTTCCTGCGCAGCGAAAGTTTAAACTAATTTTTTAATATTTTGAAAAAATTTAAATGAGAGTTTGTTCTTACTATCTATCTACATGCGAAAAATTATGGAAATTCGACCAGTCATTATAAAGTTATTACAAAACAATAATCAATATTTTGGAATTCAATCGAGATTGCACATGCAGCAAACAAGTAACCAAGTAGCGCTATAAAAGAAGAAGATAGGTGGCGCCATAGGCTAGGTGTGTTAGTGAAAAAAGCAGAGTTGCTTAAAGCATATCTCCATTCCCCTCGCACTCTTTTAAGCTGAGTAACGGGTAACGAGTAATAGGCGAGGCCATCGACTTTAGCGTTTTCCCTTGTTTTATGTATTGTATTTTCTATAGCAAAATTTGTGCCAAACGAGTACCTGTTCTTCATTTTTTGTGTTCTTCATTCTTCATGTTATTATGCAACAACTCAAAACACTCCCTGTGGGGCAAGGATAGTTGAAGGTAACATTTGATATTACGGATTTCGTTCAAGAATATTTACAGTTTTCATGGTGAGAGTGATGCTGGCAGTAGTGAAAGCACCTGTCAACAAGAGCTCGATGACCCAAGATGTAGTAACACTAAACCAAGTGGTCCAAAGCGCAGTGGGAAAGTCCAAAAAGAAATTTGACATATGTTGACAAAGTTGAATAATGATATGGTGTAGAAAATTTAAATGGACATAAGGGGTCCTCAGCGTCAAAAACATATATTTACACATAACATATGTGTACACCGTGCTAAAATCAAGCACAAAGAACAATTTAAGAACGATTTCAATCTTACCATTTTAAGACCGTTCGTAATGAAAATAATTTATTTATCTCGTTTATCAATTTTCAGTTTCCAATTCGTATTTCTCCTACATAATTTAAACCCAATTTAAATTTATTTAATTCATTGATTTTATAAGTATTTGTCCTTATATCATGCCTGCAACTTTCTTACTTTATTAATAAATCGTACTTGCTTTTAGTACAAATATGACTAAATTCAAAGTTTCTAAAAACGTACTGAAATCGTATACTTTCGGTCTTGCACCCAGATTTTACATTTTTTTATTTGTTGTGATTATCAATACACATCTACATTAAAAAGTTAAGGGCAAATAAAGTGGAGCATCTCGAAAACAGGGAATTTGCTGCATTCATATATCCATTTCCCTCGCAATACCTTTAGCTGAGTAACGGGTGTCAAATAGTCGAGGCATTCGACTATAGCGATCTTTCTTTTTTTGTAAGCTGGTGTTACCATGATGAGCATAATAGTGTTTATTTCTTTTAAGTTTAGATCAATTGATTCGACTTGTAGATGTCATCCCAAATTTGAAGTTTTTCATACTCGGGCAAATCAATCATCTTTACATCATAACTGATATTAATAACTCGTTTAGGATTCTCTTTTGTTGATGGTTTCCAGTTTAGATGAGCAGTTTCGACGCAATTGGGATTGGAGGTCGCTGCGAATGCTGTCCAAATGCCAACCATCCTTTCGATGGTGCGATATTCGGCAGATGTCTTTTCTAGTTTCCAAGATTTCGAGTTCCGGAACAAATAGCTAAGTTCATCAGCGTGGGACACTCCAGTCTTTATGTTATCCCCACAGAATCTAGCACGATAGAAGTTGAAGTTCGGAGAATCAAAGTCAAAGCGGTAGTAGTATGTTGGTGCCTTTGCATAGGCGAGTCTTGCGTTAAAAGTGCGATGAAAGCCATGCCACGTTTTGTAGCAATAATACTGAGGAAATGAAAGCTTGATTAAATAAATAGCCTCATAAAATAATTGTTTGTTAGTCTAAAAATAATTTTTTTTAAATAAATAATGCCAATTTTTATAACCTTGGTCAGATGTGTGCATTTGACATTTGACATTATTTGACATGAAATTACGGTACAACCACAATTCAGATTTCTATTTTCAGTTGAAATATCCGTTACACGTAGAGTAAAAGGGTATACTAGATTCGTCGGAAACTATGTAACCGGCAGAAGAAAGCATTTCCGATCCCATAAAGAATATAAATTCTTGATTAGCATCACTAGACGAGTCGATCTAGCCATGTCCGTCTGTCCGTCCGTTTCAACGCAAACTAGTTCTCAGTTTTGAAGTTATCGGGCTGATACTTTCCGAAAAGTCTTCCTTTTTTGCAGGTAGTACTGCAAACTAGTCGGATCGGACAACTATATCATATTTTTATATATATTTTATGGGGTCGGAAACGTGTCCTTCACTGCGTTACAAACTTCTGACTGAAATCATAATACCCTCTGCAAGGGTATACAAATTGTGAATCTTTTCCCTAGAAGACGGTATTAAAATTTTAGTAAAGAAAACCTATGTGACCCCAAAAGACATGTACATACTCTTAAGGTCCATGTCCATGTCCATTTGGTCGTCCGTCTGTCAGATTCTGTGCAAACAAGTCATATTTTAAGAAAAGTCTTTTCTGTTGCAGGCAATATGTTAGTCGGAACGGATCGCACAGCGAAACTATATCCTTCTCCAAAACTATTTGCATTTACTCACATCGAGAATATTCATGAGGAGCGCTGAGCTCGGTGGAGCATTGCCGAAATGTGCTTTGATTAGACGCTGGGCATATTCCATATTCTTCTCTTCGCTGTTGACCTTACGAACCTCCGGAGGAACTACTCTCAAGGGATCCTGACTTAGGTTGTCCCATGTCTTCAGATTGGCAGATACCTCTCGATACATGAAGAGACCCTCGAATGAAGCTCCCCCCAGCATGACAGGTATATTGTTGGACCATGCACCGCGGACCATTTCGACAAGCGGCTTGGGAATTACACAATCGTCTCCCACATACGACTCTACGGTGGTTCCAAAGGCAAAGAACCTCCCATTCCTTTTATGCTCGGGCGTTAACAGATTGTGGCTCACAAGATCTCTAGCAGGAACACCCTGAAGGTACTCCAGAACCTTGTCGTCTGTGTTTTCGCCAGTGAATCCACACTGCTGAGCCAGGCGAAAAGCAAAGTCCTCACTCGGGCAATCGGTCCAGTAACTGTGCACTGTTCCCGACATTGGAATAGCCTTGTGGAACAGTCCCTTAGTCTGATCAGTGCACATCATAATGTGAGTGGAACTGCCACCGCTGCTGTTTCCGAAAACCGTAATGTTTTTAGGATCGCCATTGAAGTAGGAAATGTTCTCCTTGACCCACTTGAGTGCCAGTACCTGATCCTTAAGGCCGGCATTCCCTGGAACCTTCAGGCTCCGATCCTTAAGGGAAAGAAATCCTGCAAGGAAATAATATCAAAGTAATTTTTGGAATGCTTTAATAATTAATTTTAGATAACATTTGTATTTTCAGTGTGCCACATAGTTCACGATGATTCCAACTCTGCTTTAAAATTACCGCTCTATTATGGTTAAAAGAAATGGTTTTACTCATTCATTTAATGAAAGGTCAGATTTAAAAAATTGGAGTGTTAAGTGGTATTAATATTAAAGCATTTATACTTTAACAAAACTTTTCGAAAATGTGTGCGCTTGACAAACAGGTCTAGCGTTGTGGGCGTAAAACTTGCGCTGCGCAGAAAGCCCTAGAAGCCATTATAGTTTTGGAGATTCCAGCATTCATACGTACAGAAAAACATGAATAAATATAGTGTATATCGTTTTACTCTGCGCGTAACGGATATAATATCAACTTTTTCTGATCAAGAATTCATATCCTTTATAAGCTCGTAAACGCTTCCTTTTACCTGATAATGTATTAGTGATACATCACGTTCAGCGAATCGAGTATACCCTTTTAATCTAAGAGTAACAGGTATATCCAGGCAAAAATTAACTGCTTACCCAAACAATTAACGCGATAGTTAAAGGTTACCAGGACCACATCTCTGGTCATGAAATAGTCCGGACCGTACAATTCACGTACCGCCCCACCCGCGTTGAAGGCCCCGCCAAAAATGTACACCATTACCGGCAATGGCTTGCCGTTCTTCAACTGCAAAAATTAATTCTTTAGTTAATATGATTATATTATTGTTACATATATTATATGATAGGAAAAAGGAACAGCATTTATGGAATATCTCTAAGGATACACCTGAATTCTTGAGAAAGAAATATAGATTCTAGAAAAAATCAAGAATATCATAGCTTTATGTTTTCGATTTGCTCTAATTACTTGAGACAGAAATAATGATGTAGGCATATAAAGAATTATGAATCATGCAATAATTATTGTTCCAAAACTAACAAGATCATCATAAACATATAAAATAGATAAACTTACTTATCTAGCTCCGAGATAAAGTTTTAGGTATGTTAAGTCTCTTGTACAACTCGTCATAAAGATGAGATTAAAAAATCTCAGACCACGTCACCTAATTGTATTAAACTAACATTTTTCCAATAGTTACCTGCTTGGAAAAAACATTTAGATACAGACAGTCCTCGGCACCTTCAAAAACACTTGTCTGTAAATTCCTCTGTGTTGGCTTTTCCGAGTAGTGGGTGCAATCCAAAACTCCGCTCCATGATTCAGCTGGAACAGGCGCCTTGAATCTCAATTCTCCCAGTGGGGGCTTGGCAAAGGGAATCTTTTCGAAGCTATAATAGGTGTCATCGTAGAGACTAAGGCGCTTAACGCCCTTAATTTGTCCCAGGGGCAGAGTAAGTTCGAATGTTTCCAAGCTATGTCAAGCGAACACGATAAATACAATTGAAGGGTTTTCCAATTTATAAGAACTCACCTTTCAGACATTGTTTCAATGAAGCGCGCTTGCAGCGTATCGTCTTACGAATGAATTTAAAGTAACGCATTTGGAAAGTCAAAGCCAAATTAGCACTGAAAGTTCAATCCCCCACAGAGGAAAGCTTTCGCACCCATCTGTCCATAAACAGTGTTTAAAAGTGGTTTTTAAACAGCTTTCATATTGGTACATAATTTAGTACAAATGTATATGATACCTTTGCAGAGGGTATAATGATTTCAGTCAGAAGTTTGCAGCACAGTGAAGGAGACGTTTCCAACCCCATAAATTTTATATATTCTTGATCAGAATCACTAGTCGAGTCGATCTAGCCATGTCTCTCAGTTCTAAAGCTATCGGAATGAAACCTTTTCAAAAGTCTTATTTCTATTGCAGGTAGTATAAATGTCGGAACGAGCCGGATCGGACAATCATGTCCTATAGCTTTCATACGAACAATTAAAAAAACATTATTTAAAAAATGTAAAAAAAATTTTTTTTAAAATGTAAAAAAAATTGTAACTTTGGTGTTTTTTACGTATTAACTTATACTCTTGGGAATATCATACTTTTAAAAAATCTTAATTTCGAAACAAATTTGAAAAAAATCGGACTACTTTATCATGTTGCTGCCACTGGAACGATCAGATAATAAAAGTCAAAATAATACAAAGACGGTAATATTTCGGTTTCGGTAAACATATACGGATGTAAATTAAAATTGAACATTATCTTAATGTTTCTTTAAATTGTTTTTAGATTTCCAAAAATCGGAAAGCTCTATACAAACGATGCTCCCACGGGACGACCTGTAAGGGTATAGAAACTTCGGCTTGCCGAAGTTAGATTCTTTTCATTTTTAATTTTACTATACAGAAATAGATAATTAATTGTTGGAACAATGGTACAAAAAACATAGTAAATGTCACTATATCACTGTTACTTGAATTAATTTACGCACCAATTTAAATCCTAACATGAAAATAGTACAAATAAATTGCTAGTTGATTATGTGTTTAGTAATGTTTGTGTTTGAATATACAAATGCATTTTTCCACAAAAGAACATCATATGCATATGTATGTCCATGGGCTTGTCTACGACTACACTTACGCCTCTTTTTTGATCTTGAGGTTAAGAGTTTCTTTCCCAATTGGTAAGTCTGACATCTTTTTTAATACAATAATATCATTAAATTTTAAGTATTGTTAAGGAAATATTTAATATTGATTCCAAAAATCTTTTGACTTACTGTGCCCTAGCGGGTGTCCAAACCTGGTTCGTCTCGCATCAGAGGCAGAAGCCTTAACAACCCAGTCGTAAATGACAGCATTCCAGCATGCGTTCTTTCATTATGAAATGGCATCAAAAAGGTGTTCCGGAAGTGATGAGTCTGTCGATTCTTTTTACACGGGTGCGGGACAAAAAAGAATGCACCCGTTGCATGCTTCTGGAAGCATATATCTGGAATGTACCTGGAAGTAACAAACTAAACACATTCTGGGTGTACTCTTTTTTAATGCACCTGGAAGCAACATACTAAACACCTTCTGGGTGTATTCTTTTTTAATGCACCTGGAAGCAACATACTAAACACATTCTGGGTGTATTCTTTTTTAATGCACCTGGAAGCAACATACTAAACACATTCTGGGTGTACTCTTTTTTAATCCACCTGGAAGCAACATACTAAACACATTCTGGGTGTATTCTTTTTTAATGCACCTTGAAGCAACATACTAAACACATTCTGGGTGTATTCTTTTTTAATGCACCTGGAGCAACATACTAAACACATTCTGGGTGTATTCTTTTTTAATGCACCTGGAAGCAACATAGTAACACATTCTGGGTGTACTCTTTTTTAATGCACCTAGAAGCATTCAAAAATCAAACATCTGGAAGTTTTCCCCAGGAATACATACATAAGACTGGATTTCAATTTCATATTTTTATTTATTTATTTTTATTCAGAGTCAGAATCGTACGGTTCGGCTCCTGGCTCCGGGTGGGCCTCCTTAATGCGCTTCTCTCCTTATATATTTTATTTTTTTGGCGCATAAAGGCCAACCGGACGTCTGATTCTGCAAAAATAAAAACACATTTAAAATTATTAGCTTTGGTTAATATTTATAATATAATATATTATTTCTAATATTGGCTACTCTTTATTACAAAGTAAACGCCACCAAGTTTTTAATCATAAAAATGGACGTACCTTGCAGGACTGAATTTATGTTGTGGAAATTTGCAAGTCCATATTTATGTCTAGACCCACTGTAATTTAATTGCATGATTACTTCAGGGCTTATTATTTGGTCCAAGTTTTTTATTAAATTATTCCCCAAAATGGATTTAAAGAGCGGTACCTGAAATAAAAATATAAAAATTACTAGAAAATATGAATAACAACTTACATTAAGATTCGGAAATAATATAAAATTATACATTTCTTAAATCCAAAGTATACAACGCAATGTAGGAGAAGATTCCAGCCCCATAAAATTATCTTCTCCTACATTGTGTTGTATACTTTGGATTTATGCTTAATATTGTTTTAACTTCGCACTTATATATACATATGTATGTATATGTATGTATGTATGTAATTGCATTCTAAATACATAAGTATGTGCAATCACATTTAAGTTTTTGGTAAATTTGTTTAATTTCTCACTTCACTAACTACACTTTACTTACCTGGGAAAAGAATAATTTATGGTTGGTTGGTAAAAAATTTGGTAATTTTGTAAGAACACTTGTGGCTGAACTTTACTCTTTCAAATGAAATCTGCGAGAAAAACCGCGCGCTACCTTGCATGTTCCCTTTTGTCTTTTTCGTTTGCTTTTCAAGAGTACCGTTTGTTTGGCCTATGCTTGCTTCTATTACAGTGGCGGGAAAAAATCTAGCATCGAGGCTACGTACAGAAAACATATTATAATATATAACAGCAAACTTTACATTATTGTATATCTAAAATTTTTTTTTGCCGTAAAACAAAATTGGAAATTAAAAATATTTACCAGCAATTTTTGTTGTATATGTAATTACGTAAATACATTTTATTTTACGAAACTAGAGGTGCTAAGAATTCTTGACAGTTTCATATGTGTACAGAAAACATACTTTCGGTTTTACCGAAAAAGACGATTGTAAAAAAATGGGCATCGGCAACCTTCGGGTTTGAGTTTGGTTTTTTTTACATTCCCACTAAAATACACCTGGATGCACTATATTGAAATACACCCAGATGGCACCCAAAAGACTGCCCCCAGCACGCACATTTTGCTGGGTAAATTTGCATGCGTGCTGTTTTGCGTAAAAAAGATACGACCCAGAACTATTTCTTTCGGAATACGTTCCCAAAACGGGTGTTTGGGCATGCTTCTGGATGCATTATTCTGAAACACTTCTAGAAGGCACCGCAATAGAATGCACCCAGCACGCACATTTGCCTTGGAAAATTTGCATGCGTGCTGTTTTGCGTAAAAAAGGTACGACCCAGAACTATGTTTTTTTAAAACACGTTCCGCAACTTACGACTGGGAATGCACCATGTTACGCGTGGGTGTATAAGTAAAGTTAACATGTTCGCGAACATTTTAAACATCCTCAAAAACTCGTGGATCCAAGATGTTCGAAATACTAAACCAAGCAGTCCAAAACCCGGTCGGGGACGTCCAAGAAAAAGTTGAAACTGCCCAATTTTCAGGGAGTATTGACATTGTAGATCAATAAGGAAAAAAATTAAATTGACATAAATGGGGCCCTTCGGGTCAACAAAATCACCAAAGAGTCAAATTAAATAAATTAAATTTATCAACCATATAATATTTACAGCGGAGGATATTTAAAAATTTATTGAAGACTTTGCAATTGACTTTAAAGTGGTGTAGGAAAATGTTATAGCCCAAAGAACCGGATTTTTAAATATACCATTTTCATGGTGATGACTTCTTATTTATAGCTGCTAAGTTCAACCAACATTTTCTTATTATCCTTACCCCACGCTCCATAACTACACGTTTGAAAATATCTTTATCTTTATAGATAACTTCAAAAAAATGACTTATGTAAGTATATAGCAATATTAATTTAACAATGCAGGCGTTCTATAGGGGTTCTTTTTGTATTACTATTGAATTGTTGAAATGCGTAGCAATACATGTCAACCATTCGTCTTATTATGCAAAAAAATTAGCATTTTAATACGAAATTTACGATGCATAGCAAACATTTTTCTCGGTGCTGTTCTGATTTTCATTTTTGATGGCTTTACTCAAATTTGTTTTGCATTATTACTTAGCCAGCATAAAATTATTTTTCTTAAAGAAAAGAACAATTTACCAAACTTTCTTCTAAGTTGCATAAAAAAGGGGTTTTAAATAAGAATTTGACAACAGGCCTGGAAGGCTCGAAGATTTTGGTTGCTTACAATTTATTTCTCAGTCTTACCCAGTTCTCCCAACTTGTAGTTAATGGATACGAACACCAACGACTTCTTTGCACAGTATTCGGGACTGTATACATGCCAGGAGGCCCGGTCTTTCTGAAAACCCCCGCCACAGACCACACAATCACGGGCAGGGGATTATCTATCTCCAAAGTTTTCAGGTATACTACAATCCCTGAGAACATGTTTCCCTGGAGTAGTTTTGATCGATTGATGGTACTCGTTTAATTAAGCACTCCTTGCTAGGACGGCGGTTTGGCTATGGTATGCCCTCAAAGGGTTAATACGGTTCCTCATCGTACGGCTCTCGAGCGATAAGCTATAAGAGAAAATGAGAAACTGAACGTGTGCCTTTGGAAAATTCACTCTAACTCTATCACTCTAACATACTCACTGAGCACCCATTTTAACCAACCTGGACCGTCCACCTTGCACTTCCATTATTTTATTTATCATTATTGTTTTTCTGGTATTTTCAAACTTAAAGTGGTTAAATTCAAAGAACTATTTCAAAGCTGTTTACCTACTAATGGGTCTACACAAGTTTACTGAGCGACTGATCGCAAATGTTTGCCGGCGTTAACTGTAATCAGGAGCAATGCCCACAGCCCACTGGAATGTATATTTTTACGAGTTTATCGAAGCACTAATTTTCGTAGTAACAACACTTATAGTAAGCAAAGTACAACTTAAATAAAAAAACTATTAACATATATACATTTTATATTTTAAACTTATATTTCGTATTATAATCACAAAACCTATTTAAACTAAAGATTTTAAAACATTAAAATGTAAAATACTAATATGAAAAGTCACTATTTAGGTTTCAGACCGCTTTAACGCTGTTTCCAAATATAATATTTTTCTACTTATAGATAATTTGAATTTAAATGTATTTATTTAATATATATATTTTGTTTTTATAATTTATTTACTGTAACTTATGATAGTTTATTGTAATTAAAACGTTCTGGTTTGTAAGCTTCTATTTCGCAGAAAGTATACTACTGACGTTATGTAAGGAAAATAACGCAAGCCTATTAAAGAAATAGATACAATTCAAAACTTGAGGACAGTTGACATCTTAGAGATACCTACATATGTATGATTTTTGATGTTACAACATGCTAGCATGCTCATTTAGCGACTGCGACTGTGACTGTTAACAGATCATCGCTGTTAGCGATAGAGCTTTTTTCTGTAGATCTTTTTCTGTAATCCAAGAACTCACCTGAGAATAAACAATAGCCCCAAACAACAAATAGAAAACAGAAAAGCTACCAAAGCAATCTGAGAACAGCTGTCTCAGAAAATTAGTTGCTCTTTATTTATTTTTTTTTGCGCGATAGAAAGGGCGATAAATGCTTTTCTATTGCTAGATAAAAAGTGCCGAGTGTGGAACTTGCATTTGACTGTCAGATATGGAGAGGTGAGGTCGCAAAACCCGTGAATATTTCGCCGTGAATTTAGTTATACGGGGTCTCGCAGCTTGCAGGTGAACACGAGCAGCGGACCGGTGCGCGGAAAACGGTGTGCAGGTGTATATGGCGACGAGTACATCAGTTTCGAGCGGATTCCGTATGCGAAGCCGCCGGTGGGTCCGCTCCGGTTTATGGCACCACTGCCCGTGGAGCCCTGGACTCAGCCACTGGACTGTACGAAGAAAGGGGAGAAGCCCCTCCAATTCAACCACTACACCAAGCAGCTGGAGGGCGTCGAGGATTGCCTGCACCTTAATGTCTACGCCAAGGAGGTATCACTGCCGTCTCCGTAATTATTCTAAAAACCCACCTCTGTTTAAATAATTTGGATGTGTTAAACAAGTGAATTTATAACTCTTATTTTGAGTTATAAGACGATAGCGCTATATCTTAATGGTCTTACGTATTTTATTATTCATTTACCAGTTAGTTAGGAAGGTCTGGGAAAACTGTGCTTATAGCCCATTTCTCCACTGAATGGGGACCAAGTAATGGAAATTTTATTTATTAAGATAAGTCCATCCATATATTAGTATAGTCGAAAGCTGAATCACGCTACTGTGCTTGTCGGAGTTCAAAGTTTTATGTCAGTATTGCCTTACCCACCTTTAGAAGCAAATTGTTCAGATAAGACTACATCGTACGGCAGACTTTTTGGTTTTTGAAGATAGCTACAGTCGAAACTCGATAACGAAAATTTATTAAAGTTTTCATGATTTTATTACCAATAATAAACAATAATTTATGCAAAGTCAATTCTAGGACTGAAATATGCTTGGGTATATGACAATTTTGTCATCCGATCAAAGGCCTAACAACCTTAATTACTTTTTAATTCTTTATTTTAAGATTTTTTTTATATTAGCAAAGATATTTTCTTTGTAAGCAAAATATAAAAAAGAAGCTCATTAATACCCCATACTGTTAGTAAACCCCCAAGTTTATCCTTTAGAGGCAATGTATTCCCTATCTTTTATTTGCAAATTTTTTAATCTTTTTTTATAGCTCAACTCGGCAAGTCCCCTGCCGCTGATCGTCTACTTTTTTGGCGGTGGTTTCGAGAAGGGTGATCCCACAAAGGATCTGAATAGTCCTGATTACTTCATGATGCGCGATGTGGTTATAGTGACGGTTTCCTATCGCGTGGGCCCCCTGGGATTCCTGAGCCTGAACGATCACGCTGTCGGAGTGCCCGGAAATGCTGGCCTCAAGGATCAGCTGCTGGCGCTGGAATGGATCAAAGAGAACGCGGCGAACTTCAATGCGGATCCCAAAAACGTGACCGCCTTTGGGGAAAGTGCTGGAGCTGCCTCGGTCCACTATTTAATGCTGAATCCCAAGGCTGAGGGACTGTTTCAGAAGGCCATTATGCAGTCGGGCAATGTCCTCTGCTCCTGGGCCCTCTGTCCCATCAAGAATCTGCCGCATCGGCTGGCTGCCAACTTGGGAATGGAAAGTGCGGAGCATGTGACCGATGCCATGGTTTTGAACTACCTGCAGAGTTTGCCGGGGGAGAAACTCGTTCGACCATATCTCCTCAGCGAGGCAGAGCACCTGGACGACTGCGTCTTCCAGTTCGGACCCATGGTGGAGCCATATAAAACGGAGCACTGTGTGCTGCCCAAGCATCCGCAGGAACTGCTGGACAAGGCCTGGGGAAACCGGATTCCGGTACTGATGAGCGGCACTTCCTTCGAGGGACTGCTGATGTACGCCCGGGTGCAAGTGGCTCCTTACCTGCTGACCAGCCTGAAGAAGGAACCGGAGCACATGCTGCCACTGGATGTGAAGCGGAATCTGCCCAATGCACTGGCCCGACACTTGGGCCAGCGACTCCAGGAGACCCACTTCGGCGGAAGCGACCCCTCGTCCATGTCTCCGGAATCTTTAAAGGCTTATTGCGAGGTGATATAGTTGAAGATATTTTTATTTCAATAATATATGATAACAGCAGATTACTCTTATGTACATTTGAGGTTAAGCTTTATCATGAGACATTTTATTACCTTTCCAACATATCCTCCTGCTTTTAAAGATCCATATCGATTAAGAAATTGATTAAGATTTACTCTCCATAAAATGATTTAAGCAGTTTAAGACACAAATTGCTATAAATAGTACGGATATCGAAGGTTAAAGAACTCTGTTGATATTTTCACTTTTTTCAATGCCCGCTCCTTTTTACATGTAACCCGGGTGCATATTTATCGTCGTTTTAAAAATGACTTAAATAATACGAGTTCTTGCGAGAGATCTTGCTACACTTCATACTTATTTGCATCACTCACTCGCACACAACATATATAAGCAAACATGCATACCATATTGGCGAACAATGGTATTAAAATATTTCGTTTATTTCAGTACGCCAGCTACAAGGTCTTCTGGCACCCCATTCTGAAAACGGTGAAGTCCCGCCTAAGCAGCTCCAGAGCGCCCACTTATTTGTACCGCTTCGACTTCGACTCGCCCACGTTCAATCACCAGCGATTGAAGTACTGTGGCGACAAACTGCGCGGAGTGGCCCACGTCGACGATCACTCCTATTTGTGGTACGGGGACTTCTCCTGGAAGCTGGACAAGCACACGCCCGAGTTCCTGACCATCGAGAGGATGATTGACATGGTGACGAGCTTTTCGAAGACCTCGAACCCCAACTGCGAGCTTATCAAGGATCAGCTTCCCCGGGCCAAGGAATGGAAGCCCCTGAACAGCAACTCAGCATTGGAGTGCCTCAACATCTCGGACAACATCAAGCTGATGGAACTGCCCGAGCTGCAGAAGCTGAGGGTTTGGGAGAGTGTTTGCCAATCGTCGGACTAGTCAGAACTATTTTAACCTAATGTGCGAAAATCGCGGTGTAAAAAATTATATATTTAGAAAGTGTTGATCAAATTATTTTGTACGTATGTGGGGTTATTAGAGCCATAACAACCAAAAGGTTAACCAATTATGCCCAAATTTAAAAAAACTAAAATCTATTTTGTAAGTTAAGAGTAAAAAGTATCTGAATGTAATAAATACAATTAAAGTTAAACACCATTTTGGCGTTAATAGAACTGTATTCAATTGTATAAAACATACTCATTTGCCTTTTAGCTGGGAAAAGAAAAACAATCGGCTCTCGAATTGGGCTGTTAGAATGTTCTATTTCTCACTTCATTTACTTTATTTATTTTGTTATCCTAACGCTGCGCCGCAGACACAAAATACGTATTACGTGTTAGGTACTCAATATTAACAGTTGTAGATACATATTTTATATTTTTTATTCTTTTACAAAATGTATCATATATATTTTAATGTTGTAACATTTTAAATGATTTATGATGATGAATTTAAAGATTACTTTCAAATGGAAATCTGCTTCTAATTATTCTAATTTCGTTTGGTAAGTGGTTTCAACGGAAATTAGTAATTCCTGATCTTTGGGGAGCGATGACTTGGAAGATCCTACTTGAGGTTTTGTATCTTGCCACACACTTTTCACTATTTCTTATAAGAATATAAACACTAAAATATTCTGTGCTGAGAATGGGGCAGGGGGTTTGAACGGAAACGGGAAAGTATATTTAGCTCGTCTTAAAATGTGCAACGGATCAGTTCATAGAATACCAATAGCTACATTACAGATGAGTTTTCGCTTTTTGTACACAATTCATATTATTTTTCCGAAAGTCATGCACTCCCGAAATTTTTTTTTAAATTCTTTTAAGATAGCCTACTTTCCATTTTGGCTTCCGACACCTTGTTTAAGTGCAGCAAATTTACCAATGTTTAAGATACGAGAACCGTCCGAGTATTTTTAGGTTGATAAGCCGCGGCTATCGATTACTTATTGCCGAGAGAAGTCAGTTAACGCTAGAGTCTGCTGGTAATCGGAGATGACGGACGACTAGTAAGAGAATTATTCCAGAGCCAACGCCTATTTTTATATACCTATATCTTAAATCCATTTTAGCATCGAAAGTTCGCCAATAGTGCAGACGACGCATGGAAAAGTGCAGGGAAAACTCCTTAAGGGGATCTATGAAGATCCATTCTACGCCTTTGATGGCATTCCATATGCTGTTCCTCCCCTTGGAACTCTGCGCTTCAAGGAGCCGCATGATTTAAAACCATGGCATGGGGTTCGAGACTGCTCTAAACCGTTGGATAAGTGCCTGCAGGTCAGCTCCTTAACCAAGTTGGTGGAGGGCTCCGAGGATTGTCTTTACTTGAACGTTTCTGTGAAAACTGTAGGTGATACGCTTATCAATTTTCGATTGATATAGCCTTCTAAATCTGGTGTGCTTACTAGCTTCTCGGCGACCCAATGCCCGTAATGGTTTATATTCATGGAGGAGCTTTCAAAGGCGGGGACTCATCGAGACGTGCCTGGGGTCCGGACTACCTTATGAAAGAAAACGTTGTCTATGTAAGCATTGGGCATCGTCTGGGACCCTTGGGTGAGTTTTAATAAACCTAAATGAGTATCAGTTCAATCAAACAAAATCAATTGTATCCTTGTATCTTCAGGCTTTCTGAGTTTTGAGGATCCTACACTGGAAGTTCCTGGCAATGCTGGCCTCAAGGACATTGTCCTCGCTCTCCAATGGATCAAGGCTAATGCTGCCAACTTCAATGGTGACCCTGATAGAATAACTATTTTTGGCCACAGCTCAGGCAGCCTGCTTGTTCAGCTACTGCTGGCCAGTCCGCGGACAGAGGGACTATTCCACAAGGCCATACTCTTGGCTGGTGTTTCAATGGAAATGAATCCCCTGCCCCAAATGGAATACCGTCTGGCCAAACATTTGGGATACGAGGGAGAGAATGTCGATAGCCAGGTTTTGGAGTTCCTCCTGAAAGCAGATCCACAACTTCTCGTCTCAGCGGACTTCTTCACGCCGCTGGAGAAGTCTCAAGGCTTTTCTATGCCCTTCAGACCTACCATTGAGAGCTATCCCACTCCAAATGCTGTTCTCCTGGCGGAACCCATTGACCTCCAGCGCACTTCGTGGAGCAATCGCATTCCAATTATCTTGGGCGCCAACAGTGGCGAGGGCTTAACCATCATGAATTTTTTGAAACTGAACCCTTCATGGCTAAAACCCTTTCAGCAAAATCCGGAGCGCGTTTTGCCTTGGACCCTGAGAAGTCGTTGTGATCCCGGCCAGCGGCGTCAGTTGGGTCAGGCGCTGATCCGTCACTTCTGCCAGGTACATGGACATGAGCTGACTTTGGATCACGCAAACGCATTAGTGGACCTATACACCCACGCCTTTGTGCATGCCATTGATCGATTAGTTCAATCCAGATTGACTTATGGTCAGGCACCCACATACGTTTACCGCTTCGATTTCGATTCAACCGACTTCAACTTTTACCGGACTCGCTTTATGGGAAAGGAGCAGCGAGGAGTCACTCATGTGGACGAGCTGGGATACATCTTCGTGCTCCCAGCCACCTTTAAATTGGACAAATCCCGACCAGAATACACAGCCATCTGCCGAATGGTGGACATGTTTGTGCAATTCGCCGCCACCTCGGATCCCAATGGAGCACTCACTAAGCCTCTTGTTGAGTGGAAACCGGTTATTCGATATGGAAGGCGAATGGTTCTCAACATCAGCGAAGAATTAAAGTGTATTCCTCAGCCAGAAATGCCGAAACTAAAGTTCTTCAATCGGCTATTCGAAATGGCTGGAGTGCCTTTATTTTAATAAATACTAAATGATTTAATCATAACAGCGAGCTTTTATTCTCCTGATCAAACTTTCATAGCTGCCTTTCGTTTATTCTGATTAATCAAAATGGATCGTTTATTTAAATAGTTGATTTGGTGCAGAACCGGTTCCGGATTCAGAACCAAAAGGGGGATTGGTTTGGATTCTTTAAATTACTTTATAGTTAATATTCACACCTATTCTAATTTTTGAATTTTGTAGAATTCAATTTGACTTTAACCCTGTTATTAAAACTTTTAGTCAATATTCCTTTATCAGCTAAATAAAATAATTAATAAAGTTAAATTCTTAAATAAAAATATTTTGTGCAAATTGAACTCGAGTAAAACACCCAAAAATAAAAACCCGGAACAGTCTTCCTTAAAAAATTGTTTATATTATAAAATCTGCAATTCCTATATGGGCAACTCCGCAAAATGGCCAACCAGGGCCGAAACAAAAAAATCTTTATAATCATCGTATTTTTTGCGTATTTTCACAGATAAATGGCCATATTTGCATAATACAGAGGAACCATATTTCATTTGTTTTGTTGAAGATATTTCCTTGATCTCTAAAAAAATGTTTTTTTTTTTTTCATTTTTAGCAACTTTTAAAGGCATTTTTATGATTAAATTTTTCGCAAGGAAAACAATGATTTGTTTGCACTTTTCAACCAAATCTCTTTATTGCAATCTAATAAGAAGATAAAAATCCAAAGAGGGCGAAAAAATGTTCAATTACCTGTTAATAAAACAATATGGAAAAATCGTACGTTCGCGACCGGTACTTTACACTAAGCAAAGAGCTAACAAAATGCTATCGAATAGCAAAAAAAATTCAGAAAACGTTTATTTTCTTTTTTTTATTTGCACTAAGTGCGTACGAACGTTCGTTCGCGACCACTGGAAATGGCCATATACATTTTCATAATATTCAATTTTAAAAAAGTACATACGATTTGTGCTTATCAAACCAATTTCTATGTTTATTGAACTTTGCTTTTAGCGCAAAATAAAATTGTTTGTTGCTTTGTGCAAAAGCCTTTGTCAATTTGCACGATTATATGATAAGGTGTCGGCACAATTTATACCAAATGGGTGGAAAAGCTCGATCACCATACGTTATTTTTCAGCCCCCTCTTTGGGGGGCTTTGCTTTTGCTTTGACTTTGCAAATTAATTATTTTTAATTCAATCAACAGCCGATACGCGCAGCAAACGGACGCTTTCAAAACTATGTCGGAGAGGTGAGTTCTTGTAAATGGGAACCCCAAAACTTGTATTTATAGAGTTCGGTTAACACAGCTTGGAAACATGCGAACTTGCTCTGCCCCTGGGTCAAATTAAGGGCGTTAAGCGCCTTAGTCTCTACGATGACACCTACTATAGCTTCGAAAAGATTCCCTTTGCCAAGCCCCCACTGGGAGAATTGAGATTCAAGGCGCCAGTGCCAGCTGAATCATGGAGCGGAGTTTTGGATTGCACCCACTACGCGGAAAAGCCAACACAGAAGAATTTACAGACAAGGGTTATTGAAGGTGCCGAGGACTGTCTGTATCTAAATGTATATCCCAAACAGGTCAGTAAGTGGGTGGTTAATGGAAAAACTACAGCAAAGGCAATTTGTTTAGAAGGTTAAAAACCCCAGAATCCAGTGAACCGGGTCTAATATTTTATTTTCTGTTAACTGAGTTTTGAATACTTTTCTTTTTTTTAATTTGCGCTTTAAACTCAAGTAACATTTTATTTAATTCTTAAAAGAAAATACCTAAGCGTGGTGTACTAAAACTTATAATCGCTTACCCCATCGTTCATAATAACTGAAAGCTAATTTATTTTTGCAGTTGAAGAGTGAGAAGCCATTGCCGGTAATGGTGTACATTTATGGAGGGGCTTATACGGTGGGTGAGGCTACCCGTGAAGTATACGGCCCGGACTACTTTATGACCAAAGATGTTGTCCTGGTAACGCTCAACTATCGCGTTGACTGTTTCGGTAAGTCAGCACAAATCGATTGTGGATATCTTATCTTTAAAGTTGGAGCACTTGCATTTTGCCTTATCTGACGTTATCTTCGCGTTCAAAATTTCCATTTTAAATTTAGTTTTATGCTCAAAGGTGCTTATCACATAAATCAAATAAATTACTGTTTGATACAATTCATAATGACATACAAATTTTAGGTTGTGGTAAAAACAAATATTGAGGTGTATGTGTACGTGTAAATTTTAATAACAAAAACATTATGCAAATGCGAAAAACAATTTCACACATATCATCTCCAAGAAATAATTAAAGCTTATCTAAAATACTTCAACTGTATTAAACAAAATATATTAAATTATGAAATACTTAACTTACCACATTTTTTAACAGTGTCGAATAATGTAAAATGCAACTCTATGGCACTTTTATTAAATTCGTATCTTATTTTTTTATTTATTGTAAAAGTACATCATATTTTTCATAGAAACCTTAACTAGAATTAAACCTTCTGATTATCCCGGCAGGATTTCTTTCTCTCAAGGATCCCAACCTGAAGGTTCCAGGAAATGCTGGACTCAAGGATCAGGTGCTGGCACTTAAGTGGGTCAAGGAAAACATTTCAAACTTCAATGGCGATTCTGATAATATTACTGTTTTCGGCGAGAGTGCCGGTGGTTCTGCCACCCACTTTATGATGTGCACGGATCAGACCAAGGGACTGTTCCACAAGGCAATTCCAATGTCGGGTACAGTGCATAATTACTGGTCCGATAACCCGAGTGAGGACTTCGCTTTTCGCCTGGCGCAGCAGTGTGGATTCACCGGCGAAAATAACGACGCCAAGGTTCTGGAGCACCTTCAGGGTGTTGCTGCTAGAGATCTTGTGAACCACAATCTGATAACACCTGAACATCGAAGGAACGGGATGTTATTTGCCTTTGGACCCACAGTAGAATCGTATGTGGGTGATGATTGTGTGGTTCCCAAACCACCCGTGGAAATGGCACGGGATGCATGGTCCAACAATATACCTGCCATGCTGGGGGGAACTTCATTCGAGGGTCTCTTCATGTACGCAGCCGTATCTGCCAATCTCAAGGGATTGGATACCCTAAATCAGGATCCCCTGAGATTGGTGCCTCGGGAGGTCCGTGAGGTCAATAGCGAGAAGAAGAATCTAGAATATGCTCAGCGTCTAATAAGAACCTTTTTCGGTGATGCCCCACCCAGTTCAGCGCTCTTTATGAATATTCTTGATGTAAGTAAATGTATAATACTTTTTAGTAGACAAATAATCTTTCTCAAAATATTTTCGACTCCTTTATTAAGATGTTTTCTAAAAATGATTTAAAAATTATGAACACGAGATAATATAAATAATATTGATTAGCATCACAGCAATTCAGATTTTAAATTTAGAAATGTCAAAAAGTTTAAAGTAGTTTTCTATTCAATAATGAATATTTTTACCTATAAACAATGAGATTTTATGAGATTTCTTATTTATCTATCTTTCTTTTCTCTAGTTGTATTCCTACAAAGTGTTCTGGCATGGCATTCATCGGACTTTGAACGCAAGACTCGCATATGCAAACGCACCAACATACTTCTACCGCTTTGACTTTGATTCTCCAAACTTTAACTTCTATCGCGCTAAATTCTGTGGGGATAACATACAGACTGGTGTGGCCCATGCCGATGACCTTAGCTATTTGTTCCGGAACTCGAAATCTTGGAAACTAGAAAAGTCATCTGCGGAATATCGCACCATCGAAAGGATGATTGGCATTTGGACAGCATTTGCGGCGACCTCCAACCCCAATTGTGATGAAATTGCCCATATCGACTGGAAACCATCAACAAGGGATGATCCAAAGCGAGTTATAAATATCAGTAATGATATAGAAATAATTGATTTGCCCGAGAATGAAAAACTTAAAATTTGGGATGACATCTACAGGCCGGATCAACTGATATAAGCTTAAACAAAAAGTAAACACTATATTATGTTTATGGTAATCAGTAAGTAAGTCAGTTAAAAATGATTAAATTCCAACAACGTATTCGCAAAGCTTATAAAAAATTCATTTGTATTAAAAATATATTACGTTATGATTAATTTCAAAATAAAATGGTACAAATTTCTTTACTAACTTGGCTAAAATAATTCTTTTCTCGATCCTTGTACCTTTGTTATACGTTGGCCAGATAAAGAGTTGTCACATGGAATGTGTACATCTCAGGAATGCTACGTGCACATGACATTCTGAAAAAACCCAAGTAAAAGCCTTACCACCCATAATCTCCATTATTTTACGAGCTGGTATATGAAATCCCTTCTCGGAATCCGTTTCCAAAAGCAAACTGTCACGATTCGCAGTAAAAACAGGTAGCGCTTTCCCAGGTAGCGGGGTCCGAAATCTGGTGGAAGGTAACTGTATCCCAAAGTGACCTTTGTGAATGATGGTTTCTGCCGTTTTGAATCTGGATCCTGTAGACTGTGAAATTACGAACAACTAAGGTTAGTAACTGACTTTAGCCAACCAAGAAAAAAGCAGCTTACACCTAAACCGTATCCAAGTTGCATTTGGATACTCAAATGTTTGTTTTTTGAATTGATCTAAAGCGTAATATATTAGGATGGAATATTTTTCTAAGCGCGGATAAAGAAAATACTAAATGGGTTTCTTGTGTTTATTTATTTTCTTGTTTGTTCGCTTTACAGTATCGCAGAGAATTTATGCATGCGAGTGGGAGCGTGTGAAAATAAACTGCGTTTTCGAGGGATCCGCCAATCCACTCTAGTACTCCTCAGCACCTTCGCCCTCGCCGTCACCAGAGTCCATGCCGACCTCCTCGTAGTCCTTCTCCAAAGCAGCCAGATCCTCGCGGGCTTCTGAGAACTCGCCCTCCTCCATGCCCTCGCCGACATACCAGTGGACGAAGGCCCTCTTGGCGTACATCAGATCAAACTTGTGGTCCAGACGGGCCCAGGCCTCGGCAATAGCCGTGGTGTTTGACAGCATGCACACGGCGCGCTGCACCTTGGCCAGATCTCCGCCGGGAACCACAGTCGGTGGCTGATAGTTGATGCCCACCTTGAAGCCGGTGGGGCACCAGTCAACGAACTGGATGGTGCGCTTCGTCTTGATGGTGGCGATGGCGGCGTTCACGTCCTTGGGCACCACATCACCGCGGTACAACATGCAGCAGGCCATGTACTTGCCGTGACGAGGATCCACCTTAACCATCTGGTTGGCCGGCTCGAAGCAGGCGTTGGTGATCTCGGCCACGGAGAGCTGCTCGTGGTAGGCCTTCTCGGCCGAGATGACCGGGGCGTAGGTGACCAGCGGGAAGTGGATGCGGGGGTAGGGCACCAGGTTGGTCTGGAACTCGGTGAGGTCCACATTGAGGGCTCCATCGAATCGCAGGGAGGCGGTGATCGAGGACACGATCTGGCCAATTAAACGATTCAAGTTGGTGTATGTGGGCCGCTCGATGTCCAGGTTGCGTCGGCATATGTCGTAGATGGCTTCGTTGTCCACCATGAAGGCGCAGTCGGAGTGCTCAAGGGTGGTGTGCGTGGTCAGGATGGAGTTGTAGGGCTCCACCACGGCGGTGGACACTTGGGGAGCGGGGTACACAGCGAACTCCAGCTTGGACTTCTTGCCGTAGTCCACGGAGAGACGCTCCATGAGCAGCGAGGTGAACCCAGAACCAGTACCACCGCCGAACGAGTGGAAGATGAGGAAGCCCTGCAGACCGGTGCACTGATCGGCCAGCTTGCGAATCCTGTCCAGAACCAGGTCGACAATCTCCTTGCCGATGGTGTAGTGCCCGCGGGCGTAGTTGTTGGCTGCGTCCTCCTTGCCGGTAATCAGTTGCTCCGGGTGGAACAGCTGCCGGTAGGTTCCGGTACGGACCTCGTCCACCACAGTGGGCTCCAGATCGACGAACACGGCGCGGGGCACATGCTTTCCGGCCCCGGTCTCGCTGAAGAAAGTGTTGAATGAGTCATCACCCCCGCCCACAGTCTTGTCGGAGGGCATCTGGCCATCGGGCTGGATGCCGTGCTCCAGGCAGTAGAGCTCCCAGCAGGCGTTTCCAATCTGGACTCCCGCCTGGCCCACGTGGATAGAGATACATTCACGCATATTGATTTTTACCGGGGTTTCGGGTTTCTAGTTTCTAGTTACAGTTTCTCACACGCGACTACGAAAAATCAACGGAAAAAGTGTAGAGCTACGATTTTGGGTCTGACTCTGCGAGCGTATACGTTGGAATGCCCGAGAATGGATTTTCAACAGACGTGTATCGCACGTAGCTCTGGGTTTCACAAAAATAAACTTCACAATTTGTTCGGATATTAGATAATATAAACGCGTTTTACCAATCGATTTTGCTCTGGTGGCACGAAAACCCCTGTCAGGCCGATTTTTGATTCGTTTGTTTGAATTCGGCTTGGTTGCGACTTTGTTTTCTACAAAACATTTCTAGCTCTTGGCCAATATTGTTTTACCATCAACAGGAGGGTTCAGATGTGGTTATACTGGCGGTATTTACCCAATTTAAAGATCAGTAAATTTTATCAGCACAAGCACGCTTGTTGGTAGATTAAGTATGACCGTGCAGCGGAAATTTACCGCGCCGCTTTAAAAATACCAGCTACTTCCAAGTTTAAATTAATTTGAACCGTACGATATTATGGATGGATATGAAATAATTTGTATGTTCATCCTATTTGCAGACATTATAAATTGTCTTTGTGAAACACGATTTTTTACTCCATGAATTTTCAGCTATCCTAAAAAGTAGTTATTAATAATCAAAGTCCAGTAATAGGTATAGAGTAGTACATATTTATTCAACCTGTACCTATAATCATTGCATTGAACCGTGCGTTAATGAAAGGAATATCTGTGTCAACCCGGTATTTTTTTATTTATGTAAACTAGTGCAATACGTGGCACTTACCATTGGGAAGGGGGTGCAACATTTTAATACGCAGTATTTTAGTATTTTGTTCGCTGTAGTTTTTCGGTATTGGGCAGAGCTGCGCAGTTATCGATCCACTCTGCGCACTTATCGATTACGTGCGCGCGAACGTGGTGTACTTTTGAAATTATTTATATTCGCTTATTAAGATTCCGAAACTATTGGTTAAAAAGAAAAAAACAAATTCAGTATTGGACATAATATTTTATTTAAAAATGTATTTCAATGTACAGCCGCGGCAAAAAATAGCACCAATGTGTTGGCAATTCTTCTTTCTGCTACAAAATGGCCATTTTTTGCAATATTTTAAATCTGTTTGTAAGGGTAAGTAGGGCTACATATCTATTAACTAAAATAAAAGTGGTCACGCTTACAATGCGGATGGTTTTTAAAACTTCGATGCATTTATCAAAAAAGTAGAAAAAGTTATACGGCATCAAAAATAGCACCAAATAGCACTTAAAGGCTAACAAATATTAAAAATACTACTATTTAAATTTTTTTTATTTAAATATATGATTTTATACATCTTAAGGTAAAAAAATGTTGTTCTGAAGCTTGGGCTGCAACAACAACAACCGGCCTTGGCGTCACTTGACCCCAGAATCTTTCCATGGGGAAATTGTTGTGTGAAATTTACGAAAAAGCTCAAAACAGTTTTTTTTCTTCGGTTTTGAGATTTTCGATGTGTTTCAGTTCTGGGGCTTGTAAGGTCCCCATTATACCATTTAGCTTAAGGGTTTTGAAACTTTGGACGACTTTCTATCTTAATTTTGTTGGCTTATAATTGTGGTAAGGCTTCCAAAATAAATTAATTTTGTATTACGCATAAAATAGCATCATAATTTCTGAGCTATCAAAGTGAACATGTTGATCCTGTATGGGTTTACATAATGATATGGTACTATATCATTATAGTACGAAAATATGCCCATAGCATGATTCTAGCTTAACTAATATTATTATTTCCAAATATAAATTGGGGACTGAATTTTGGATTTGTAGGTTGTCTGATGTGATTTTTAAAGCTTTTATATCTAAACATAAGCCATTTTCAGCTTACAGACCATAAAATGAGTTGCCCTTTTATTGTGGGCCTTATTTAAGACTCGTCCTTTCAATTCAACAATGCTTTGCAGTCTAGGGAGAGTTTTATATTTTTTTTTTGTTTTTTTCATAATTTTATTAAATTACTTAGTAGTAGTTATTCTTAATGTCGCAACTGTATTTAGTAATACCAAAAATTTAGTTCGAATATTTTTAATGGAACCCTAGTAGTCGATGGCTTTTCATTTTTGTATATTAGGGTGGGTTGCTTTGGTGGTCTTCGAATCGTATAGGGTCGTATTCTATGGACAATTTTTCGTTTTTTTTGTATAAATGGTATATTAATGTTTTCTAGTTATTCTGTCTTACAGCATTTGCTTAATTTGATCGTATGGGATATTTCAAATAACCGTGTAACCCGGAAAATGTGCCATTGATTGTAATGTTCAATTTGCTTTCCTGTCTATCTGGTGGCCTTTGAAAAATAATTCCTTTCTGAAAATTAAAAACTTAATTTTACATCATCGCCAGTACCCGTTAAGGAACATCAGAAATTGTAAAATATGAATTCGAAAGCTTTAAAGAAGGATGATGATTCCAGCCAGCTGCTGCTAGGCTTGAAGGACCTATTACTTTGGCGTAACTACCGTATAACACTGGTCGTCTTCACGAGCATTCTGCTCCTGCTGCTGGACGTTATGGTCCACTCGGTGATCAGTGTAGTGAGCATGGCGGGGATCACTGTACTTCTAGCGGCCTTCGGTCACCGCCTTTTGATGCAGTTCTTGAAGGCCTGGAAGAAGGACGGAAGCAATGACCAGATCTTACGCCTGTATCCTCAGGTGAAAATCGAAATTCCTCGGGAGGACACTATTAGACTTGCCGGGAAGGCAGTTCATTATCTGAACTCAACGTTAAACCGTATGATGGAATTGTTTCTGGTGGAAAAGTTGGAAGATTCCCTAAAGTTATTCGCTTTGCTCTGTGGTATTAATTTGCTGGGCGATTGTTTCAACGGACTGACTTTAATGCTTATTGGTATGTAGATTGGGATTTAATTTATATGAAATACGATACTCAAATCTTCTAGTATCTAAATGTTCTTTTATATTTACATTTTTATTGGTTTTATAATTATTAATATAGTTTAATATTTGTTTTAGGACACGTATCTATTTTCACCCTACCAAAACTTTACGAGTGGTATAAGCCAATAATTGATGTCCAGGTCCGGAAATTCCGTAAATGCAAGCAGAAGGAGAAGGATGTACCGGAAGCTAGGGATGAGAAGCCGGAATACGTTGAAGAAGAATATCCGCCGGAGTCACCATATGAAAGCCAGGATTCCAATGAGGGCAGCATGCTATATAAAGTCTGCGATAACGAGCAGCTTCTTGATCTTCTAGAGGCGGAGCACCGCAAAGGATGTCGTTGTCGCGATTGCGAGCACGAGGAGTTGCCCATCGAGGTGCTTTAAAGTTAATAGTTAGATCTCTGTGGTGTTATTGTTCAAAATTTGTTTTGTGGAATTAAATATTGTTGTTCCACTCAGTTGGCAATCAAAAAAGTTTCATTCATCGGCCTCATTTGTTCAAATGCGTTCAGGGATACCCGGGTTCTCCATATAGCCCTGATCGAGTCTACCGTTCGCCACAGGTCAAAGCAAAGCACTCGATTATGACATGTGGAAACTCTGCCAGCCGATTAGTCGATACCGCATAAAATGTTTTCGATTCCTCAACCCGTATGTTGGCAATGGCATCAGGCAAATTACCTGCCCCTCACCCGGTGAGGAGGACTCCAAGGTCGTCGAGCTGTCAGTGGGGAGAGTGAAGGGTCGCCGGCAGAGCGGTATCTATGGTGATGTGTTCTACAGTTTTGAGGGAATTCCCTTTGCGAAGCCCCCTCTTGGGGAGCTTCGATTCGTGGCATCTCAACCAGCGGATGGATGGAATTCTGAGCTGGATGCCCGGCAGGAAGGGCCGATTCCCCTGCAGATGGATAGGCGGTCGGGAAAAGTCATAGGCAGCGAGGATTGTCTGTACCTAAACGTGTACACCAAGCATGTGAGTAATGTAGGCGTAGTTAAATTGCATAATTCATTTATTGGAAAAAAACAGTTCATAAGCAATTGCTACAAATTTAGTAACAGGGGAAAAAGTAGGAATCTTGACAATTATAACTCTTGAAAAATTGTTTTAGTTTATGTTTAAAATATTTAAATAATTTAAAAACAATTGTGATAATACCGAATTATAAAGAGAATTAAGTGCACAAGTTGTAAACATAATTTTATTCTCGGTTTTACCGCTATTAGGTTTGTTATAAGGTGAACACATCTAAAAAAGTGCCACACCAGCCTGTTCAAACATGTGATCGTGGAACTTGAGTTTAGGCATGGAAAGAGGAACAAACTTTAGTTCCTCGGTGATGTTGAGGACCATTAGAGTACCAGAGCTCGCAGGCTTCCATTCCACAAGAGTTTTAGTAAGGTGAGAGTTGGGATCCGAGGTAGCTGCGAAATGCACCAGCATTGATACCATTCGCCAAATCGTGGAGAACTCCGGCCGTGACCTGTCTAATTTAAAAGTGGCCGGTAATACATAGATATAGCCTAGATCATCCGAATGACTAACTCCGCGCTGCCCCTTGCCATAGTTTCGAATGCGGTAGAAGTTAAAGTCCGGCGAATCGAAAGCAAATCGGTAAACATATGTCGGTGCCTGGCCGAAAGCCAATCTGGCTTTGACGAATCGGTCTAGCGAATGGAACGCATTGTGAGTGAAGATCTCGGCTAAGGATTCGAAGTGATCCGAGTTCAGTTCTTCACCATGGGCCTTACAGAAATATTCCAACGTTTTAAGTCCCATCTCACGCTTCTGGACGGAATCGCAGCGATTATTAAGATCATAGGGAAGCACTCGCTCCGGATATTCCTGGAACATCTGCAAGACCTTGGGATCGCTTTTAAAAGTGGTCACGCAAAATAGTCCTTCATCTTTACAGGCCCCTAATATTATGGGAATGCGATTGCTCCAGGAGTTATGCTGCAGTTCTATGGGCTCCGCCAAGAGAACAGCATTCGGTGTCACATAGCTCTCAATGCTAGGTTTAAATGCCATAATGCCATGACCCTTCTCTACAGGAGTTAAAAAGTCCGCAGAGACGATCAGGTGCGGGTCTGCCCTTAAAAGGAAGTCTAGAACCTGGCTATCTACATTCTCTCCCTCGTATCCCAAGTGTTTGGCCAGACGGTATTCCAATTGAGGCAGGCGGTTCACTTCCATGGAAATACCCCCCATAAGAACGGCCTTGTGAAACAGTCCTTCCGTTTGTGGACTGGCCAGCAACATATGACAGAGCATACTGCCCGAGCTATGTCCAAATATGGTAATTCTATCGGGGTCACCATTGAAGTTGGATGAATTCGCCTTTATCCAACGGAGAGCCATTATTATGTCCTTAAGGCCAGCATTACCAGGAATTTTTAGCGAGGGATCCGCAAAGCTGACGAAGCCTAAAATTCAAGTTTAAGGATTAACTATATAAACCAAACTGTCTATAAAAATTTAACTTGACGTAGTGGTACATTTTCTATTCGGTGTTTGTTTCAAGGCGGATGGTATCTTGTAGCGGGGGCGTCAATGTAATTTTCTTTCTAGTTTAATTAAAGAAATTAAAACTCACCTAAAGGTCCCAAACGATATCCGATGCTCACGTGAATGACATCCTCTCGCATAAAATAATCCGGACCCCAGGCTCGTCTCGAGGAATCGCCGCTTTTAAATAGCCCACCATGGATAAATACCATCAGAGGCAAAGGCTTTTCGCTGTGTAGCTAATATAAATATTTGGTTTTGGTTGTTAACAATATAAAGCAATAATATTATGTTGAATGTAAAAAAAGATGCCTTGACTATCAGATAGCTTTAATCAGCTAACCAACTTTAAACTGTTGCCCAATTTTAAAATAAAATTCCATAGCATATCTTTTGACGCAGCACCTAACGAGTGGCGCCACCTATAGTATCAAAGCTGTACTACAGACCATGCAACCATTTTTATGTAACAGGCAGAAGGAAGCGTTTTCGACCCCATAAAGTACACTGACCGGCATAAATATTTTGACAAAACAAAAGTTAAATATATTCATAATTTGAACTTACTTCTTGTAAACTTTGACATCAGTGGAAAGGTAATTTAAATGCCGTTTGAATGATGCAATACATTTCTTAACCCATTCAGTACTTATTGAAAAGGACGCCCACTTTAACGCTCACTAACCGTCCATAATCTTCAAAAAATCGTAAGTATGAACGCGGATATCTCGGAAACTATCAAAGATAGAGAATTGGAATTTCAGACTTAGATTCCGTAGCTTTAAGCGCAGCGCAAGTTTCTTGACGTTCTTGGGGGTTAGAGTGGGCATGGCACTCCGATGAAACACACTTGCGCTGCGCAGGGAACCCAAGAATCTGCATGATTAATCCCAACATTCTTGCTCTTATAGTTTCCGAGATCTCAGCGTTTATACGGACATACGGGCATGGTTAGATCGGCTCGGCTAGGGACCCTGATCAAAAATATACTTCACAAACTATATATATACTCCCTTCTACCTGACGACAAATCAAATACACCCTTTTACTGTACGATTAACGGGTATACAAATTTGAATTGATTTTTTATCAAACAAAAACACCCCTTAACGATGTAAGACTATCGCGACTTCAACATACAAACGTTCTGATGTCAACTTTTGTGACGAAAGTGTATTATGCAATGCACTAAATAAATATACTTTCATAATTTGTCTTATTCTGAAGAATCCTACAGATAATTTTGCCACACATGCACATTGTATTGCTCTCAACTTATGAATAATATAAAAATGAATTCTAATTTTAGAAACATAACTCACCGTTTTTACTGATATGTTTAGATATAAGCAATCCTCGGAACCCTCAACCAACTTTGTTTGAGAGCTCACTTGTATGCACTTGCTTAGCGGCTTGGATCAATCTCGAATCTCTTCCCACGGTTCAATATCAAGTGGCTCTTTGAAGCGCATGTTTTCGAGCGGGGGAGCAGCATAGGGAATACCATCAAAAGCGTAAAACAGATCTTCATATACCCCCTTTAGTAGTGTTCCCCGCACTTTTCCATGTGTCATCTGCACTACCGGGGTAGTTTCATTACTGCAAGTATTATGTAAATTTAAGGCATATACTTTGCGGCCTGAACAAATTATCCTACTAGTTGAACGACATCTCCGATCTCAAGTAACATAAAACTTTGACTGAGCGGAGATTCACGCAAAGACCAAACTCAAGCAAGATAGTAGCTGCTTATCAAGCTGGAAACAAAAAGCTATTTTGATAGCAAATCTTATAAGTAGTATATCCGAAAGGGTATCGCCATATACGAGTGCCGACACTCAGATACCTGTTGTAGGTATAGCTTGCTGGTCGCAGAAATACGCCGTCCGAATTCGAAGCAGACAATGACCTAACAGATTTAGGCGGTCTTGAAATCTCTTAATGCGCCCTTCTACTACAAAAGCATTTGGTTTTGCCAGAACTTGGTTCCCTCCTTAATGGAGGGAGGGGTAATATAAAAAAAAATTGTGTAGAAATCACAAAGTTTGGAATAAAATGCATATTACATATACTTTTTAACCCGAGTGGGGGGATCTACCCCCTATGTCCTTCCCGTGGATCCGCGCATGGGCTTTGTAGATCTTGAAGATTTTTGTAAAAGAACCATCAATCATCTTAAAAATAATGGCAGTAATGGCTTGACTTAAGAAAAAAGTTAAATAATTCCAAAACAATGAAAATTTTATTAAATTGTCCTAGTTTTTGAAATAGTATTCTCCATCATGTGAATTTCAGTTAATTAACCATTCAGAAACTTAATTCAATGACCCCTAGTTCGATGAATCGCATCCACCCCTGCCCGTTATGGTGTATATCTACGGCGGAGGATTTCGCACGGGCGGCGCTATAAGAAGTAAATACGGCCCCGACTACCTGATGGGCAAGGATGTTGTATACGTGCTATTCAACTATCGCCTCTGCTCACTAGGATTTCTAAGCCTGCCGAGTTGCGAGTCTAATGTTCCGGGCAATGCGGGACTTCAGGACCAGTTGCTAGCTCTCCAATGGGTTCGCCAGCACATCCGGAATTTCAACGGAGATCCGCAGAATATTACGCTTTTTGGTGAGAGTGCTGGGGCTGCCTCGGTGCACTTTATGATGTGTTTGCCTCAGGCGAAGGGTCTCTTCCACAAGGCCATCATGATGTCTGGTTCGATGCTAAGTCCCTGGGTGGATGCTCCCGAAAGAGAGAGTTTGTTCTGCCGCCTGGCCATGGCTGCAGGGTATCAAGGACCCGTGGAAGAGTCCTCGATGCTGAAGTTCCTGCGTAGCGTAGAAGTAGAAAAGCTGTTGGGTCACGATTTCATCTCAGTCCGCGATCGCTGCTTTGGGTTCCTCAACCCCTTTGTTCCCGTTGTAGGAGGCCTCATTCAAGCCCCCTTTCAGCAGCTAATGAAGGAGGCGTGGTCCTGCCAAGTGCCTCTGCTCCTGGGCGGCACTTCCTTTGAGGGGCTGGTGTGCTACCCCTTTTGCCGGCTGGACAATGGTTATATGCTGGATCTGCTCAAAGAGGAACCGGCAATGGTCCTGCCCCACGAGCTATATCGGTCGATGAGCGTCGAGGAGCGCAACACCGCCGCCGATGCACTGGTGAAACATCACTACGGACCCCGGGGAATCACCAAGTGCAATATCACACAGATTCTAGATGTAAGTAAATTTAATAAGTAATTAATTTTACTCAATTAATAATTCAAAGATTAATAAAACACTCCAATATATATTTTTCTAATCCCCAGCTCTTCAGCTACAAGCTATTTTGGCACGGCATCCACAGGGTGGTCCTCTCCAGATCATCCCACGCCCAAGCACCCACCTATCTATACCGGTTCGATTTCGATTCGCCAAAGTTGAACCTGATGCGAAACCAGCTTTGCGGCGATGACATCAAGCGCGGAGTTTGCCATGCGGACGACTTGGGCTACATTTTCCACAAGCAGGGCCAAAAGAAACAGCCGCTGGATTCCGCGGAATACCTGACCATCCAGCGTATGATGGGCATTTTGACGACCTTCGCCAAGACCGGGAATCCCAACTGTCCGGAAACGGGCCCTGATCAGTGGATACCCGTCTCTTCAAAGTCCCCATTTAAGGTCTTGAATATTGGACAGGAGGTGGAGTGCGTAACGCAATTCGAGAAGGAGGGTTTGGAGGTGTGGAATCGACTATATAGTAATGCAAATAGTACAGGCAATTAGGAGGACTCAAAAGTTTATTTTGCTATAATTTTTATAAAGTTTTAAGAAATGCGGATTTTATTAAATTGGCTTTAAAGCAAATTTGTTCGAAAAATATTGAATTGAAAAATTACTTTGGCAGTTGAGAGGTTCAATTTATAATAATAGTTTGCAAAAATATTATTTTGAAAAAAGATTCTATCTATTTTACTAAACCAAGAACATGAAAGCGTTGTAAATTAAATTATTTTTGCGATAGTAGGATTAACTACTATTATAATGCTTAAACCATTTTAATACTTATTAAAAAGATAAAATTCAAATTTTACTTGATAAAAGTAGTTTATATCAAACGTAGTGTTTTTTTGCTGTTAAAATGGTTTTTTGCCCACTGTCAAGCTTTTCTGCGGTTAAGCTGATCGAAAGCTTTTTGGCAACGCCCCACTCCAGTCGAAAGCTTGGTGACCATGTAAACAAAAACAAAACACATCAGTTTGTTTGTTTACAGTAGTTTTGCCGGCGCGATCAAAATGTTGTTGACCCACTCAGTGGGCGGCCCTCCCCCTCTTCCACTTCATTTAGTGACAAGTATACTTAGGATAGCTAATAGTTTCAGATACTTGGATACTCAAGATATATCAGCTAATAGTGTGGAATACTTGGTTAGGCAAAAGCAAAGTATATTAGATGGTTTCTTTATAACTTGGATGCTCTTCTATCTCGAAGATACTTAGTTAAGAGATTCAGATACATGTTCTAGTTCGAAAAACTATGATTATATGTTTAGTCCGGGTTGAACAAGCATATTTTTTTGCAGTGCTGATTAATTGTGCATTCGCTAGGAGGTGTTGCCACGCCCCTCGCCCATTTTCCACCCGACGGCCCACGCTCGATGATCGGTTGCTGCTATATCAGTTATTCTGTTTATCTCGGCTCCGCACTTGAAATACCAATTTTTTTTGTATTCTTTTGTATATTTTATTCTCTCTCCTCCGCTCTCGACGCTCTTCTTTTTCGCGTAATTTGTATTCTGATATTTGTGTTAATGTAGTATATTTTTTCTATAATTTTTTTTCACTTGTTTTCGCCTATTTTGCGCGCTTTTTTGCTGGACGCTCCGCCGCTGGAATTCGATGTGAAAAAGTGTGTTTTTAATTTCAGTTTCGGTTTGGCGGTGGGGCGATACAGTCCGCAGCTCGTGGCCATATCTGTATCTGTGTATAGCAAATCGATCGGATCGCGCCTGGTGAACTAGTCTATTCGATATGCACAAGAACCTCGGCTTTGTGGAGCGCCTGCGCTGGCGCCTCAAGTAAGTTTCGACGTTGACCTTAATGCCGGGAATTATTTATTAAATTATAGCTTATTAATGCTCTTTCTATACTTTCGATTGCTGTTGTTGTGGGTGCCTTTGTTGTGGTTAGCTTTGTCAATTGTGGCGGTTCGTGTTTCGGGTTTTTCGTTTGCTCAGCTCTATTTGCCTTTTTTGTAGTAATTTCTGTTCTTCGCTGTCAGGCATGAGTAATTCCGTGGATGGTAGGAATTATTAATTTTAGCTTTCTAATTGAGGCAGCTTTGCAGCCGAGAGATTAGATTTCAGAGAATTACGCAATCGTGATGAATATAGGTAGGGTAAGGTCATCAGTGAACATCGATGAAGGCAGATACAATCATACTTTACTGAACAATATTGCAAAATACCAATCGAACACAAAAGCGATGAGCGGTAATATTTTTATCACTTATACTAAAGACTCATTTTATCCTCCAAATCCTATAGGCAACAAAAATAATTTATCTGCATAACTTTGCGAATTATTGTAGCCCATCAAAAGCGTTAACTGAAAAAGTTTTTACGTACTCTTTACGAAAATGTTTTTGTTGAGATAATAAAACTGTCACTTGTTACCATTAATCGATTGAAATCATAAATTTGTTTTTATTGCTTAATCAGTACAACGTAAAAGATATTTTGTATTTATTATCACATAAACCCGTAATATCATGGCTTGCCATTGAATCGATATACAAAATCATTTTGTGTAAGCAAATGGGTTGAACTGACTGCCTAATTCCACGATGGTAAGCATCTGTAAAATAAATACTGATTGCCGCACCCTTAAATTTAAAAAAACGAGTAGCATGTCAATAGATGATAACATTAATTAAATATTGACTTGAGCTTGCTGTGGATGCAATGATAATTATTATATTTCAAAGTCATTCATACACTGGTTCGGTTCTTATCACGCATTAACCTTGATAATGAAGCCGATTGACAAAAATAGTTTCAGTTTCAGCTCGATTCACGGCCTTTCGTTTTAAATCTATGGCCAGTAATTGGCAAATTAAAATTTTATCACGATGACAGCTAAATAGGTGTGATTTCATTTTGTTGCCCCAATGTAATGCAATTAAAAGTCTGTGTAGGGCTCAGAATAATTATCAGCAATTTTTCACATTATCATCGTGATTAATATTTTATAGAATAAATACACACAACTCAATTACCGCACAGCAAGTAATTTTATTTTAAAGTGTATTTTTAAACGTCAATAGACCTGACTGTCAACGATGCTCGAGACCTTTCTGATTAAAGGCATTTATTTTTAAAGTGAAATAAAATAATTAATTCTACTTAAGAGTCTGGCCTATGATAACAAACTGACAGCTGCTGATAAGACAGAGAAATTGCCCATGGTCATTATATATTCACAAGATTATGCCTACATTTTGATGTTTATTAACAACAGTCCAAGGGGTAGTCTGCACTTTAACCTCAAATGATTTAAGGGCAAAACTGGCTTACATTTTTGAGTACCTACTGCTCCAATGGTCCCCAGCAGAAGCAGGGGACTGTGTTAATCTATCACTGACAGACGTGCCTGGTTAGCAGGTGGACCACACGGTCGACTGAACCACCTAAACCTGGTACTCTGGCTGAGCCGGCAACTCTGGCTACGTGTGCACTCAAAAAAAGGCATTTGTTGTCCGAAATTTATAGATTACCTTCCAATAAAGTAAGGAATTTTTCATACAAATATTTGGATAACTCAGAAGTACAATTTACAATTACCATGAGCTCAATTTAAAGGACTTCCAAATTTAACGGTGATGAAAAAAAAAAAAAAATGTTTCTTTAAGGGCTAGCAAAATTTTCAATCTCTGCTATTAAAGTTTTCAAAGCCTTAACCTAAAAACATTTTTCGAAGTGTTTTTATCCAGCTGAGAAATGGATTGTGAAGTGTTGGGATGGTCTGGTGGATGCGATGTGATGAACAGCAGCAAAACAATTTAAATTTAATGCAATGCATGCAGTCTGCCCACTGGCATGTGGCTTTGAGAATGAATTAAAATAATTGACTTTGTGACAAAAATATCAAATTATCCGGGTGCTAGTCGAGCCCAATATTGTTATGCTAATTATATGTACTGTCGTGCAATTGCAGAACCATCGAGCATAAAGTCCAGCAGTATCGTCAGTCCACCAATGAGACCGTAGTTGCCGAGACGGAGTATGGAAAAGTGCAGGGTGTCAAGCGATTGTCGCTCTACGATGTGCCCTACTTCAGCTTCGAGGGTATCCCCTACGCCCAGCCGCCGGTGGGGGAGTTGCGGTTCAAGGCCCCGCAGAGGCCCACCCCCTGGGAGGGAGTTCGGGACTGCAGCCAGCCCAAGGATAAGGCCGTCCAGGTGCAATTCGTCATGGATAAGGTCGAGGGATCCGAGGACTGCCTCTACCTTAATGTTTATACCAACAATGTGAGTATGACGAGAACAAACCACATCATTTTTAAATTATTAATTAGTAAGTGGGTACAAAAGTGCATGGGTGCATTGAAAATCACTTTAAACTATGTTTTCTCAAAGTCTTACAAATTATTGATTGATTGCTAGCTCTTTTTTTATAATTTTTCATATTAATTGTGATTGTAGTGGTTAATATTGACATTTGACATCTGCTAAATTGTGATGCCATCTTAATTCAAGATAAACACAAATATTTTTTTGAAAGATTAAAAAATTTAGATAAAAACTGTGTAATCTTTAGAGATACAATGTTCGCTCAAAGTTTAAAGATAATTCTATGCAATGGTTAAACGAAATTGTAAAAATAACACCTGAAAGCTTTATTAGCTTTGATTATAATCTCTTGTTGAGAGAAAGAAAGCCATTATGTTGACTAACATTTTTTAACTAATCCCCCATTTAAGGTGAAGCCCGATAAACCCCGTCCGGTTATGGTTTGGATCCACGGAGGTGGCTTTATTATTGGCGAGGCCAATCGGGAATGGTATGGCCCGGACTACTTCATGAAGGAAGATATTGTCCTCGTCACCATTCAATATCGTCTTGGAGCTTTGGGTATGCTTCCTATATAATAGAAAATATTCTCACTAACTGTTTCCATTCCAATACAGGTTTCATGAGTCTAAAGTCTCCGGAGCTAAATGTACCTGGAAACGCTGGCCTCAAGGATCAGGTGTTGGCCCTCAAGTGGATCAAGAATAATTGCGCTAGTTTCGGGGGAGATCCCAACTGCATCACCGTTTTCGGCGAAAGTGCAGGAGGTGCTTCGACTCATTACATGATGATCACCGAGCAGACCCAAGGACTGTTCCATCGTGGTATCTTGCAGTCGGGCAGTGCCATTTGTCCGTGGTCCTACAATGGGGACATCACCCATAATCCCTACAGGATAGCCAAGCTGGTTGGCTATAAGGGCGAGGCCAACGACAAGGATGTTTTGGAGTTTTTGCAGACGGTGAAGGCGAAAGATCTCATACGCGTCGAGGAAAATGTGCTGACCCTGGAGGATCGCATGAACAAGATTATGTTTGCCTTTGGGCCCTCTCTGGAACCCTTCTCAACGCCCGAGTGCGTGATACCCAAGCCGCCAAAAGAGATGATGAAGACCGCCTGGAGCAACTCCATTCCCATGATGATAGGAAACACTTCCTACGAGGGACTGCTGTGGGTGCCGGGTGAGTGGATTACAACTTGTTCACTTGATTGAAGTTAGCAAATAATTTAATTGTTATTCGCAGAGGTCAAGATGTTGCCACAGGTGGTGCAGCAGGTTGATGCTGGCACTCCTTTCATTCCCAGGGAACTGCTGGCCACGGAGCCCAGCAAAGAAAAGCTGGATTCGTGGAGTGTAAAGATTCGCGATGCTCATCGCACTGGAGCAGAAAGCACCCCCGACAATTACATGGATGTAAGTGATTTCCAACCAATTTCTCTTTCAATTATACATTTTCATAACTTTCCAGCTCTGTTCGATTTACTACTTCGTGTTTCCGGCCCTGAGGGTGGTCCATTCCCGTCACACCCATGCCGCAGGAGCCCCTGTATATTTCTACCGATTTGATTTCGACTCCGAGGAGCTCATCTTCCCCTACCGCCTTATGCGAATGGGTCGTGGTGTTAAGGGAGTGAGCCATGCCGACGATTTGGCCTACCAATTTACAAGTCTGCTGGCCCGTCGATTGCCCAAGGAAAGTCGCGAATACCGGAACATCGAGAGAACTATAGGGATCTGGACCCAGTTTGCAGCCACGGGAAATCCCTATAGCGAGAAGATCAACGGAATGGACACTCTGACCATAGAGCCAGTTCGAAAATCGGACGAGGTCATTAAGTGCCTCAACATAAGTGATGACCTGAAGGTTATCGAACTGCCCGAGTGGTCCAAATTGAAAGCTTGGGAGAGCCTATATGATGACAACAAGGATTTATTGTTCTAAGGCGAACTGTAAAGCTAAATAAGTATATAGAAATTGTATATAGGACCAATGCTTTATAAAATATATTATACTATTTGCTTGTTCAAGAAGTTTCCTTTTAATATTGAGTATTTACATAAATACGTTATGGATTACATTTTTTTGCTTGTTATCATATCTAAAGCAGTGGTCGGCACACACATACCATCACAAGTTTGCCTTGCATTAGTGTAAGTGTAACAAACACGAAGTTAGCGCGCGGCGTGCTGAAGCGAGACGTTTCTCTGCTTTGCACTGAGATCCTCTGCCGCAGCAACAAAAAAGCGAGCCGAAGTTGAGAAAAAAAGGACCCGAAGACCCATGCCGAAGTCACACGAACATGTACGTTATACGTGAGCGAGCAGAGGATGGGCAGAACACTTCCCTATGCTCACTAGATAGGCCGCTGCCGACCACTGATCTAAAGACTACTGATGTAACTTGTTAACACGTTATGGAATAAATTTCTTTTCATATCTAAAGATTACGTGTGTTCTCAAGAATTTAAAGTTCATGTGCTCAATTCCGAATTCCAGTGGCAACCATATATATTTTTCATATATTTAATATTAAAAACCGGGAAAAGAATACTATTTTTAAATTGGATCAACTCTTTTCAGATTTATGATAGTTCTACTTCCCATTTATATGTAAGCCAAAGTTCAACAGAAACTCCTGACATTGTTGTCAGCCTTCAATAAAACAATAGGAAAATTATTTTATTTAGACTTTTATAAATTATAACGTTTTTTTCGAGACGCAGGGAAAGCACAGGAAAGGAACTCCGATCTCTTTGATAGAATGGCTGCCACTCGTCGTCTGACCCGGGAGCTCTCCGATCTGGTCGAGGCCAAGATGAGCACTCTGCGGAACATCGAGAGCAGCGACGAGTCCCTGCTGTTGTGGACGGGTCTGTTGGTTCCGGAGAAGGCGCCGTACAACAAGGGCGCCTTCCGCATCGAGATCAACTTCCCGCCACAGTACCCCTTCATGCCCCCGAAGATCCTTTTCAAGACGAAAATCTACCACCCGAATGTGGACGAGAAGGGCGAGGTGTGCCTGCCGATCATCAGTACGGACAACTGGAAGCCCACGACGCGCACGGAGCAGGTCCTCCAGGCCCTGATAGCCATTGTCCACGACCCGGAACCGGAGCACCCCCTCCGTTCTGACCTGGCGGAGGAGTTCGTAAAGGAGCACAAGAAGTTCATGAAGACCGCCGAGGAGTTCACCAAGAAGAATGCGGAGAAGCGACCGGAGTAAGGTCAGCCAGCAGTTTACTTTATTTGTATATCAAAATTAAATAATGTTTAGGCCATGAATACCAAACTCGCACCTTGTCCTTTTCTTAAATGTTGTGGTATACCAACTTTAAAGTAGCTACTTCTTTTAATTAAGGAGACTGGCGTTTACTGCCCTTTTAACTATATTTTAATTATTATGATAGTAAGGGTACAATTAAAATCTCTTGAAAAATGTGTTCGCAATTCAACTTGTTAGAAAATTATTTATTCTCATATTATCTAACCATTTTTACGTCACTGAAAAGGAATAATGTTGACAATACTCTTAAATAAATCCAGGTTTTTTAATTATTTTAATGCTTACTTATTTATTGTACACTGTAGTCAAAAGTTTAAAACTTAAGGTACAGGGAGGACTCGGCCATAGTTGCTAGGACTTCCGGCCGGACTAAACTACTGGTGTACTTAATAACTAATATTTTTATGTGAATGGGAAGAGATAGAGATTGACAATTTAAATGGGTTGAAGCAGGTTAGCACATTTTAGAAATTAAGGATATTCTGGATATTTTCAAACGAAGGGGTAATTAAAAGATCAGCAAATTTTTTATATTTGAGTTACTTGGTCTATGGATTTGAAGTGCAGTGCAGTTTAACGTTTATAATTTTGCAATATTTATACTGGTCTATAAATTGAATAATACAACTTAGATGTCACTTAATAGCTGATATAATTATCATTTTTCTTATCGAAAGAGAGCCTAGAGTCAGTTTTGTCTATCCACTCGGTGAGAAGTGTTTCAGGGCGGTTAAGTAATTTATGGATTCAAGTGACTTGCATTGCTCAGTCCTAGTTGATTATTGCATAATTTATGGCCAGAACTGGGAGAAGGTTCAGGTTAGAACTGCAGTGTGTCCGAGGCTTTTGGAAACAATACTTAAATGTCTCTTACCCAAGGGACCAAACCCTTCGAGAGCTGAAAACAATAATATGGGTACGGTCGAGATGAGGTGATTTCAATAAATTAGCCGCTAAACAAGTTCAAAGCGGCGTCAACTCTCGTTGACTTAATTGACCAATTAAGTTTTGAATAAAATTTGTCATATAAAAATGAGAAACTGTTTCTACCATGCATAGTAAAAAAGTCATCAGTTAACTTATCACATGGAAGTAAACTTGATTCATGCACGTCAGTTTGCGTGGCTAAGTGGGGGGAATTTGCGCGGTAAGTCTATATAATATTCTATAATTACGCGAACTACATGTTACTGGTGTTTCCTCTTAGGGAAACTAGCTTAATTTGCTGGGAGTACATTTGTTTGATGGTCAGTAATGTATCTATATAGGTTTCATGTAGTACCTTTGTTCTACAATTCGAGCCATCGATGATATTCCCATTTACTTCGGTAATTGCAATAATATTCATTTTTCATGGTCATGTCTAAGGGCATTATAATTGTATTCAACAGCACTTAATAAAATTACCGGTATAATAAGGTAATGATAATGCGGAAAACTGGTTTATTATTATTCACCGTGGAAAAACAAATGTATAAATTACTAAAAATAAATGCATTTACTAAGGCCAGGCAAACTTTGTTTCAAGTTTTTTTTGTTGTAAAACAAATATTTAAAAAAAATTCAAGCTTACAGCAATTTTTTTTAGTTTTTCAAACATTATTCAAATTTTAAAGCTTTGAATATTAAAAAATGTATAAAAATTAATTTGCAGTATTTATAAAGATTGCATTACGAGAGAAGGCAAAATTGAAATTTATAAATTTGTCTGCTTTACAATATGGTCTTGTTACTAAACCCCCGACAAAAAGCATCACTTTCATATATAAGCATTAAGTATTTTGAAAACTTAGAACTTATGCTGGCTGAAATTTAATAATATTTAAAAAAAAGTTAAGTTAAGATAAAAGAGTGACAAAATAGTAAATTGTAAGGTCAGACTTATTTATCACTCTGGGGAATGATCGGTTATAATCTTTTATTGATTTATAATTAGAGCCGCACTTGATGTAATCCCTTGATTATTCCCAGGCTAGGACTGCCCAAACTCCGCCCACAAAGAGCAATAACATTAGTAATAATTGCGGGGGGCTGCTAGCCGAATAGCGGCGCATGCTATAAACAATAAACAAAGCGGGAGCAACAAAAACGATAACGCCTAAACAAAACAACGGCGCCCAGAACGGCCAGCAAGCGGACTCACTCGAGCACACCGAGTGCCCAAGGCACTTGAGTGCACAGCCAAGCTAGAATATCACTCATTCGACCCCGTGGCCAGCGCGGCATGGGCAAACGAGTGGAAAAATCATCATCGACACGCCGCCCGTGTTTGTGTGTGCGAGTCGAACGTCGGCGGGCACTAAACTTAGCCGGCGCTTACTTTAAATGCTCAGTTGCCGAGCGGACCCTGAGTAAAGCGCAACGCCAGCCTTAGATTCTCAGGCTGGAGACCAGTGACATTCCCGTCCCACGATCCGGTGCCTTTTCAATTACTCCGCATCCGTGAAATCAGAGCAGTTACTGTGCAGTGGCGGCAACAAGTGATGTGGCATTGGGCTTTGTGGAGCGAATAGTGAATACAAAACGAAAATATTTCCAACAGGAAAATAAACGAAACTTTAAGGGCCGCCAGCCTTCGTTACGCATTCGCCCCGTTGTCCAGTTGATTTTATAGATTTTCCGTGTGTGCCGCCCGCGTTTATTTTCACTGGGATTTCGACCAGCTTGCCAATTGTGTTCTGTGTATTTAATAGTTTCACATATATAGACAAATATATCCGGAAGGGAATTGATTGTGGCCGTTGGCGTGAGACCGCAGCAAGATGTCATTCGATATAGCCGTGGCCGATCAGATGCGCATCGCATTGAAGTAAGTCTCACAATTCTCTTTAAGTCGAATCAAATAACATTTATTTTTAAGTTTTTATATTGCTAAGTGTCATAAATATTTAAAATATTTGATAAAATTGTAAGAACAAAATTTCTTTATCGAAACAGGAAGCTTACAAATGTTAAAACTCAAAATATATTTTCAAAATCCAAGACAAAATTTTGTGATGCAACAACTAGGCATTCATATGAATTTGTATTTAAAAGGCATGTTCATTATAAACATGTTGTGGTCAAAAAGATCGAGGCGATAGCCTATGCACTTTAATATTTGGTTCCTAATTTGAATATACTTTAATTTGCTTGCTGATTATGAACATCTGGTATAAATTTTTAGAAACACTTATGCGGTAAACATATTTCCCTTTTTATTTTTCCGGTGCATTTCGGCAACATACATTTTGCCGGCGTTGAGTCTAGTTAATCCGTCAATCAATAAGGTCAATTGAGTGGTTGCACACTCTTTTCTGCTATATATAAGAGCCCAGTTGCCATGACCATACGATGCTCGAGTTGAGAAGACCTGATAACAGAAGTCCGGCCCGCCGAGCCTCATTTCTTATCAAGAGATTACAGGCTGCTGTGGCAGAGACCCGAATCCGGTTCACCGTTTGGGTCTTATTAATAGTCATAGAGCAGTCGATAAGGTCTGGTTTCTGCATCCGCATCATCGGCATTGGCGATAGCCGAATAAAAGCGTCATCAAAACGAAGTCTCGTCAAAAGTTTGACAATAAAATTTGTCAAATGATCAGCTGACATCTGGTATGAACCTTGTACCTTCTCAGCATTATTCATCACTTTAAGAAATCAAAGTCGGGACTCTTGAGTGCGAAAATGTTCACGCGAATTATGTCGAAGCAAGCCATGTACAATTGATAACGTACAACTTATTGGTGCTCCTGTTCGAGCCAATTATCAATTATCGGTATCGACGTATAGACTGATAAGATTTTAAACTACCCGGGCTTAACAAGGTGAGTCAGTGAAGAGATTACTCGACCTTTCCGCGATCCTCTTATATAAATCGTTTTCGGGCAGCCGAATCAGCTGCGGTATTTGCAAATATAATTACATTTTTGTTTGGTCACATGAGTTTTTTTTTGGTGACAACTACAAAAAGTATTTAATAAGAATCACGTTTAGCAAATGTCAAGGCAATTACCTAAGTTGCAGCTTCAGCGAAAAAGTTTTAACTTGGCCAAAGCAAAGAAGTCGGAGAAAAAAAAGCAGTTAAAAAGTTAAACGAAGAAGTCAAGCAAGGTAAACAAGAAGTGAAGAAGTTCAATGGACGAATGCAAATTATTCGACTTTTAAACAACAAACTTAAGCTTTTTCTTACTCCGTTTACTATCATTCAACATTTTCTTGCCTTAAGTGGCTAAATTTCTTTCCCACACTTCAAATTTAATTTTAAGTTTGAATAGGAATTGAAATCAATTTGAGCTTAATTAGACAATGACTTGCAGTTCAATGTTTAAATATTTTTTCATCCGCCAGCAATCCTGACGTTTATGAGTACTGAACTGGAAATTTCTGTAAATATTTTTCTATCGCCCTTTATCAATAGCTCAAATTGTTTTTGAGGAGCAATACGAAGAAAAAAATAAATAAAACGAGGCTGATCAAAAATCAACGGCCATTTATAACTTTCTGCATCGCTTTACACACGAATGCATGAATTTGATAGATGGAAAATATGGAACATTATGCTGTCTTTATTTTTCTTTTGGGGGAAAATAATATTGAATACTGAATGCACTCAAGCAAAATGCTATTGACCCGCATGCAAAGCTTTGATGCATGGCAATATTGATTGATTTTCCGAAATTTTCCATTTTCATTTCCATTTCACATCCTCTCATACGTATTTTAATTTGTAAATATTTTGAGTTGCCAGTAGCACAGTTTATTTTTCTAAAAAATACAGAAAATAAAACACACACATGCAATTATGTTTGAAATGGAATCGAATTCGGGTTTCTTAATCTGTTAATATTGATTCCGAAACCATTTCACTTCGGCCAATTTGCAGTCCATGAGAGAGCAGATTATTTATTCTCATTGCGGATATGGAATACCATATACTAGGTGATATTAATTGAATTCTTTCCCCACTAAGGGGAAACTAGAACCAAGTTCTCATGCTTGAACTCTGCGTTATTCAACAACTGGATCTTAGGGCCCGGCCTCGACTGCCATCTTGTAATTAGCACTTGATCTCTAATAGATCTGATTGCCTCTCGAAATAGTATTTTTACTGGAATTTCCTCAAGGCTGTCGGTGCAAAATCGCCAGAAGTAGACGCTGGGCAGCTGTTAATTAATACTTGCCTCTGTTTACTACTCGTAGACCCGTTTGCTCTCTTGATTTGTGATCGCCGTACTTGACTTTCGTCTGGGCCAGGCATTCCGTCTTCTTTATTTTATTCCACTACACGGGAATAGACATTTATGAGTTCTTCTATATTGTGGCGGCGTATGGCGGTCTGTTGTGGATCGGCTCACGCGTCGTTTAGAGCGCACGTTCCTAAATGGAAACGCACTTGAAATTTAAATTGGCCGCGCCCCCATCGATATAGGGTATTTCCGATGATATATTAGAGCTTGCCCATTGAAATTCAATCTGGGGGCTTCGGTTTTCTGGACAGGCTTGTTGCTGAAGGCTAAAAGTAATTCCGGTGTCTTGGGGATTTTTTTTGAAAAGGAAATTAAATTGATGTGCCGGATATTATTATTGTAAAGTGCATGCCTCCAAAAAGGGGAGGTCTTTTTAATTGGTTTCTGTTCCAGATATGATATTGATTATTGTCAGCATATTACAGACAAATTTGTAATAACATAATGTAAATAATAATATTATAATATTTTCTAAAATATAATATAAGGTTGTTATCCCAAGCTGCCTTTTTTTTAATCTTTAAAATGTGTTAAACAATCCCTTTCTACAAACACCGATGTAGTTTTTGTGGTGATCTGAACTCCACTCATTAGGTTACTAGGCATTTGTTTTTCTTGCATATATTTTCGGGCTTACAGGGTATAAAACACTTCATCACTTCACACTGACATTCTATTTTCACTATTGGCTATTTATATTTTATTTTGTTTACGCGCTAATTGGAAATTCGCAAAAAATACTAGAAACGAGCCGTCAAGCGTTTGTTTACAAACAAAATCGAAAGCGAACTGCCAAACACTCCGAGGTGTCTCTGCTATTGCAAAGTGTTTCTGAACTGCCGCGTTTGATTTAATTAAATGTATTTGTATATTTTCCTTGCAGCTATGTCAAGTTCAAGACCAACCAGCAGCGTCTGCGCAGCAACGACAAGGTCATCGCCGATACTATCTACGGAAAGGTGAAAGGGGTGAAGTGGCAGTCGATCTACGGCAACAACTACTACAGCTTCGAGGGCATCCCGTTCGCCAAGCCCCCTGTGGGCGATCTCCGGTTCAAGGCCCCTGTGGAGCCCGACCCCTGGACAGAGGTCAAGCGGTGCACCCAGGTGCGATCAAAGCCCTGCCAGGTGAACATCGTGCTGAAACAGGTGCAAGGCAGCGAGGACTGCCTGTACCTCAATGTCTACACCAGGGAGGTGAGTCAAGGGACCTTTTTTTTAAGGGTTTCATAATTTTGATTAACTTTGCGTTGTATAAAACACTTAGAATTTTCAATATTAAAGTTTTTGTTATATATATATATTTGTTGAACTTTTAAATATATAAACACACACGTTACAAATAGAACTTTCTTGAAAAAAAAGCCTAAAGGAGCTCTGAAAAGTTCCATTCACGTGAAGGCAATAAGAAATTATCAATCAAAGGCAGATAAAATGTCTACATCGCATCAATATACTATTACTATTTGTAGTAATGTATTTGCTTAATGATTTAAACCAAGTCGCTTTGTCATGGAAACCTGAATGATTAAAACCAAAAGTGCCAATTATAAAATAGACTTCTGATATCAGCTTTCAAGTTTTTTTCCATTATTTTACGACGCAAAGATAACAACGTAAGACGTCTGATGATAATGAATTTTTAATCTTTTACTTTTACTTACTTATTATACTTTGAATTTTACAAAATAAATTACTATTTTGTTCTGTAGTTTAGATTGTAATTTCCATTTTCTTATATTTTTCCCCTTAGTTGCATCCCCACCGACCTTTACCGGTTCTGGTTTGGATTTATGGCGGTGGCTTTCAAATGGGCGAAGCCTCGCGTGATCTCTACAGTCCGGATTACATAATGATGGAACATGTGGTCCTGGTGGTTATATCATATCGCCTCGGAGCCCTGGGATTTCTCAGTCTAGAAGACAAAGAACTGGATGTTCCTGGAAATGCAGGACTCAAGGATCAGGTGATGGCTTTGCGGTGGGTGAAGCGAAATTGCCAGTTCTTTGGTGGCGATCCGGAGAACATAACCGTTTTTGGTGAGAGTGCCGGTGGGGCCTCCACCCATTATATGATGCTGACGGATCAGACGAAAGGACTCTTCCACAAGACTGTTATCATGTCGGGATCGGCTTTGGCCCCCTGGGCTCAGACCCCCACTCATGTAAACTGGCCCTACCGATTGGCCCAGGCCACGGGATATACGGGTGAACCGAACGATAAGGAGATATTTGCTCATCTCAAGAGATGCAAGGCCAGCACTATGCTGAAGGTGGCCGAGGATATTATCACCATGGAGGAGCGGCACCAGCGGCTGGCCATGTTCAGCTTTGGCCCCACCATTGAACCCTATGAGACCCCGCATTGTGTGGTCCCCAAGTCACCTCTGGAGATGATGCGCGACTGCTGGGGCAACAGCATTCCCATGGTAATCGGTGGCAATTCCTTCGAAGGCCTTCTCATGTTCCCCGAGGTGAACAAGTGGCCGGAGTTGCTTTGCAAACTGGGTGACTGCAATACCCTGGCGCCCATGGATGCCCAGGTAAATGAAGAGCAGAGAAAGGCCTTCGGAAAGCAAGTAAAGGAGCTGTACTTTGGCGATAGGACTCCTGGGAGGAAAACCATATTGGAGTACAGTGATGTAAGTTGGGAAAAATATCTTTTAGCTTTTATATCTTATATATCAATTTTTCATCTTACAGCTCTTCTCGTACAAATATTTTTGGCACGGCATCCAGAGAACTTTGCTCTCTCGAGCTCATCACGCTCCAACGGCCCCCACGTTCCTGTACCGATTCGACTTCGATTCGAAGCACTTCAACATCATGCGAATTATAACCTGTGGACGCAAGGTGCGAGGTACTTGTCACGGAGATGATCTGTCTTATTTGTTCTACAATGCGGCTGCCAAGAAGCTGAAACGCCGAACGGCTGAGTTCAAAACGATAAAACGGCTGGTCTCCATGATCGTTCAGTTTGCCATTTCCGGGGATCCCAATATCCCGATGGTCTCCCAGGATGAGAAGGAACAACCTCAGGGGGCGTGGCTGCCCATTTCGCGGGAGGATAAAGCGTTTAAGTGCCTGAATATATCGCACGATGTGCATGTGATTGATTTGCCAGAGGCGGAAAAGCTGCGACTTTGGGACAGCATCTATGATAGAGAACTTCTGTACTGAGAGGGCCACCCACCTGCCTACGACCAACACTCCCCATCGCAATACCATTTATCCATAGCAATACATACTTAGCCTTAGATATAGCCCCTAAGCTGGCCCTGAAGTGGCCTTAAAAGCACATCTAATGTACACATGTAAATAGCGATTTTTTAAAGCTTAGCTGTAAGAGTAAATACAAAAAATATATACACAAACACGAGTGGGTAAATATTTTGTTACCATGAAAATTGGCCACCAAGCTTCCAGCTGCAAGCCGAGGGAAATTATTTTTGCGATTCGCATATAGATGTTGAGGAACTTTTTAGGTAAGGAAAATAATCAAAAATGTATTTAATGCTAAAAAGTGCGTTATATCTTTCTGTAGAATAAAATATGAAATGAACTTGAAAGTAAAGTGGTTTGACCTGTTCTTCGTTGCTAATTTACTATCCAAATATGTATCGTCTTGAGAAAAATATTCGAAAACCCTTATACCTTCTTTTTCTTAATCCTATTGTTTAAAAGGCGGTCAACACGGCTATTTTCATACTTTATTACCATTTGAAATAGCTATCTTATTAACAAAAGTTTGCCATGTCTCACAATATTTAGTTTCAATCAAAAATGGGAAATTTTAGCAATTGTGTTATGATACTTCATAACAAAAGCTCCTATTTTTATAATTTAAATCAATTTATTTTGGGCTGACTCTTGAGATATTTCCCAATTTAAAATTCTTTCGTATTTACACAAACAAAACTAGCAAAAGTTTTAGTTGCAAAATCAACTGAAAACATACTAGTATTGTTTTAAAGTGCTTTTTAAACCGCATTATTTCAGTTTTTAAAATAGTTTAAGCCTGTTTTTGCACTCAAAACGTTGCATAAATAAAGTATATAAGGTTTTTTTTAAATTTGTGGTTACAAAAATGAAGGAAAAGCCCAAATTTGCCCACAGAAACATTGATCTGGTTGGATGTGTGGGTGACACAATCACGCCTGCCTTTGTGTGTATTAAATCCATGCGCAAGCCTCCCATAAAGTATGCAGCATGTTATGATATTAAAAATACTTAAACGCTCAAACATGACAATATTAACACCTGCACAGAAACGAAGCCACACACGCATACATGTGATAGCTGTCAGGTGACAAAAGCCGCGCACACCTGTTCTCATGTATATATTTATGTATATATTTATACTTGTGTGTACCCTGTGTATAACCCACCCATTTAAAAATTATATGTTTGTGTTTGTGTCTATGACAACTTCAAAGGCCGCTTAAAACACAATACACACACATACACCGCCAAAAACGTTGGCCTCTGAACCTTTCACATTGCATCCCACCTCCCACCCATTAATTGTAATTAAAAACTTACACGTGCTTCAAATTTACTGAGCCCGGTTGCGCTGACTTCCGTTGACCTTTGCCCAACATCAGGATTTTTCGGCATTTTGTTTATGCTGTAATATTGTAATTATAATGTACAGGTGTTTAGCCAATTGGGTGGAACTTTCGGGCCATCTTTTTGGGATGCCTACATTTTGAGATGAAATTTTTGCGGCTGCCGCGAAGTATGCAAGATTTTTGGTTGGCTACATTTTGATGGTAAAGATTTAGGGGATTATTTTGGTTTTTATGGGCACACATGCACAATAAGTATTTCATCAGACATGTAGGCATTTGTTTAAAAAACGAAAAACTTAACTTGAATTTATAAATTTGACGTTACTGTACAAGTGTTGCATAACTAACTCACTCATATTCGGGCGAAGATCGGAAAAAACTTGTATTAATGCTTTCGTACCTTTTCCTTGAATTTAATTATTAAAAATTCCACTCTTTTTTGATCCCATTTTAAGTAAATAAAATATAACAATGTATAAATTAGTTCGCCACGCGCTGAGTCCTAGCAGATTAAAATACATATTATTATTTAGGTCGCCACAAAGCACTTTGGAATCGCCAGTATCAATACCCATTTAAGGCGATTTCTTTCAAAGAGCTATCCCATTTCATTTAGTCCCCCAATTCAAACCAGACGTGTGAGCTGCCTTTGCCCTTAAGTGTGTCAGAAGTCTTCGTTCGAGTTTTTAAAATCACAGACAATAGTTCTGTGTCACGTGCAGAACCGAAGAACGGGAATGGTGCTTTGATGGCTCTGGGAAATACTCAAACCCGGGACAAGGACCTCCCCCAATTATCCTTGCACAAGGAAAACAAAAACAAGGGCGCATGTTAACCGAGCGCTGTAATCAAGTCACGAAATGGCATGGAAAAGTCACGCGAACTGCCGGAAAATTATGACTTCGCCGGGGCGGAAAAGGGGACCCTGATGAGGGGGCGTGGCAGAGGGTCCACTTTGATTTGATTCGCCTTTGAAAAATTCATGAGGCAATTGTTGCGCGGCGCGAAATGCTCATGATTATCATGTGCGACTTGAACCGCTGAGCTGGCACGTTGTTTCGACTCAGCTCCTGGACATTTGATATTCCATTTACATTTTCTTAGCCGAATTTGTGGCGGGAAAACACGAAAACGAAGGTGAGGAGGTTACCAGAAATGAATTTTTAATTCATCGGAATTTGAGCTTTCGGTAAAAACATTTACTCACTACCCCAATTTCCAGTTCGAAATGATGAGCCATAAAATGACCTTACCAAAATACACGAGAAAAAAGTATTACAAGGAAAAGTCATATTTTCGTAGTAAAAAAATATTTTATTTTAATAATAAAATTTTAATAATCTGTTCTCGCCACCTGTTAAATTTATAAAATTCATAGAGAATTTAAAAGCGTTATTATACATAAGAATAACTAATTTATTCAGAATAAATATAAATAATATTAAAATAATCAAGGATAAGTAGATTTAATATTTTATCTTTTATTTTCTTTTTGGTGTATTTTCCAACATTATATTGTAAACATTGAAATCAGTCTTTATAGAGAAAAATAGCTAAGCAACATATGGCCAACGTAAACCCCCGAAAACAATATTCAGATTCGCAAACTTTTCTATTACTAATACTTTTTCAGTTGCTGCTGATTGGGATCATTTTGGTTTAATTAAAATCATTTAAAATCTAACAATGTGCGACAATGTGACGGCCTGACAATGCCAGAAATAGTCGTTGCCGAGTTGCACAAAAAACGACAACTTTATTTAAATTGATTAAATGAATTAGAGAACCATTCGTACATATAGCGAAAAAACGTGCCGACCCCAGAGCACGAGATCGTTCCCAGAGAGATATATCACTCGGGCTACGAGAGAGAACTTTAATCCATATAGCGAGATAGCCATATAGAAGCCAAGTAGTTCTGATTGAAAAGCTCAACGAGCGATAAACGCATGGCAACATAGCGCCAAAAGTCACGAGAGTTTATATTACCCCCCGGCCAAGGTTATTTATTTAGCATATCATAAATGTAAACAAATCTGTCGGCTGCCTATATAAGCATGCACAGAGAAAAATGACAAACTCTCATTAATGTCGTTTGTAAAACTATTTCTAAACCGTAAAGCAGTGAAAATAATTATTTACTTTATAAAATATGAGATACTGTTTAAATATTTCAAATTTTTTATACTGCCACTTCCTTTAGTTCCTACAGATGTTTTTAAGTGCGTTTGATTTTGGGATATATTTTGTTTTGAGAAATCTGGAAGAATTTCACTTTCCCGTTTTTTCAGAAATTCAACCGCCGATTTTATCGGTAAACTAAAGTTTTGACTAACCTCCTTTGGAGTTAATTCCAATAATGTCTCTAAAAGTTGTGTTCTTATATCCTTTCATACGGAATCAGCTTAAAGATTTCACTTTTTCGCGGTGAACCCTGATCACGGTAAAAATGATTGCAGATCAGGTGACTACATATATCCTATAGGTTCCATAGCGAACATCCGTTATAACTTGTCAAATTTATCTTTTTCGAAAAAGCAGGAAAACATTTCCGCCTTATCGGGCTGATTGCTACCAATGATATGATAAAATACATATGTATGTATAAGTTGTTCAAAATATATGCCTATGTTTCAGCGTTTAATAAGCAATGTTTTGTATTTATTCCTAAACTGTTAATTTAAGTAATTAAAATAAAATTTAAATAAAATCAAAAACAAAATAAAATCTTCCTAGAAAAAATTATCTTCCTTTAAAAAAATATTATTGATCTTTCTATTTTTGGTCTAACGATATTTTGGTGGAACTTAACCTTCATTTTAAGTATTTTAATATAATTTGTATACAACAAGTTTATAAAAACTTAAGTTTATAGATCTTTTTCTGAATTAAGATGTATTTTTCTTTCTCAGACATTTTTCCCGGTGTATAAATACACATATGCTCGTTTAATCCATCCCATAATTTGATTAGGTGTAATCTTCGCTGATTCCAGTCTGTGGCGGTTGCGTGTCCAGCTGAACTGAGAACTAGAACTGACCATAACTAGAGGCAATTACTTGGGGCAGACCAAATCGAAAAACACAATAGTGCGAATCCAAATCAGTTCATCAGTTAAAAGCTTTGGCCTGAAAAGCTGCCCAGCAGTGCTTGTTTTGGGTTAACTTTGGCCTGGAAACCAGCTTTTGCAGCAACAGGAGTCAGCTCCTTCAGTCAGCTGTGTTTGTCCTGCCTACTTTTATTTTGTTTACTTTGCAACAATGAAAACAACAAGAGTGTGACTGGTACCTAATGAATGACTTTATTCCAGGAAATGTGTGCTTCCTGGGGTACAATTTAATTGGTGGAAGGCTGACCATTAGGATGAAGTAATCGCCTAAAGCTCTGCAGAATATAATTAAATATATGACGTAGATAAATCATTAAAGAATAAGAAATGCAATGCAATGCAGCAATGTGTTGTTCTCCCTAAAAGACTTAAACAACATTTCAGATTTTCCAGTCAAGTCATGGACCGAAATAATTCGAAATCTTGAATCTTTAAGACCCCAATAAGTTATGTGGAAAAAAACAGATGTGTTTCTTATCAAGTATGCTTTAAATAACCATAAATAACAAGAGTAATAATTTTCAGAAATCATGACGTACTTCCGTTAACTTTAAACTTTTATGCACTGAAATTCTGAACCATTTAAACCTCGATAGATTCTCACCGGATTACAGCTTCCTAGAAGTCCCCTACAATAAAAAATGACTCATTCGTGAAATGGTTTCCTCGCATTCTTATCAAAGCATGAGTGGGCCATAAAGATTACCGCCGCATGACACCCCCATCAAACAAAAAAGAACCAATCGAAAAATATTGTCGAATCAGCGAAATCACAACTTGTTACCCAGTGCGAATAACTGCGGGCACTGCTATCTCAGGGTTTCTGTTTGTTAGGACAGTGATAAAGTGGATATTTGGCGGCAGGACAAAGTCGAGCCATTTTGTGCCCTGTAATGGCAGTGAGTCAGACCCATGGAAGTGCGCCCCAGTCCAAAAAATACAACATAGCACTACCGAATTACTTGATAAGGTTCGCGGTATCGTATCGCCCGAGTCTACCGAGAAACGCTTTTATGTTTCGCATGCGTCGAAAGCTTTTCGACACGCTTAGAACTTTTTTTGCTTTGCGGCCATTTGACGAGCTGCCTTCACGCCAAGCGGACGCGTAACGGCAACAAATGCCAAACTATATATAACAATACAATACCATCCGTTGCCCACAAAAGCCACAAACTATATACAAGATAGACATCGGGCAACAATAGTGAGCGAAACGACTCGCAAAAGTTAATTCCGCGACTCGAGCAAAGTTATGTGATTTAGCGTTAAGTCCGGAATTTTTCGCATCCTGCGTTCCGATTTTCCAGCGTGGCTTTCGACGCGTGTGCGTGTGTTTGTGCGCAGGACATAAAAGCTCCGTTTTTGTTGATATACGCAGTCCTTGCAAGGCCATCGAACAGCTGGCAGTTCCTCAACTCGCGTTAGGCTCAAAAACCAAAACAATTTTTATAGAAACCTTTTTTAAATATTTATCTAAGCACCCACGAAACCCCAAAACAATTTTTAAAGTTTACTAACAACCAGCGAAGCTAATTTTGGCTGCTTTTGAGCAGCGGGTGTTAATTTGTTAATTGAAATCGAGCCGAAAATACCAAGCAGAAAGATAACAACATGTCTTCCATGGCTGCATTTGATCAGATCAAAATTGGACTCAAGTAAGTTGACACTATAACGTACTATATTTGATTTAACAGAACTGAGCAATAAAGTGCCCTGCAATTAATCAACAAGCGCCTTTACTAGAGGGTTCCTTACTTGGCTAGGCCATACAGTTTTATTTATAAAGCCTTTTAAATCATTTAATTCGCTTTGCTAAGAGTCGAATGAAAATCGTTCCAATTATACAAGGCACATGACATCAGCGCATTGTGTCATCCCAACTGAAGCAAACTATATAATTAAACTGCACACCTCCAAAACCCACGGGCTATATAAAAGGCTTGTGCAAGTCGTAACTGACACACTTATGATTTATGCCGTGATGTACAGAACAACAAACTAGGGTCAACTGCAAGTTCTGAATAAGTCTCTTGCCGATAAAGATATTTCCCATACCAACCAGAACTTTCCTTGGAAAAACAAAAAATGGTTTACGTCAATCCCTGTGAGAATATTTATGCTTGGTAAACACAATTTGTTATGTGTTTCTGTACTACGAACTTTACGCAGCTGGGAGCAACGAAATTGCCACGGTAGAGCAGCTGTTTACAATGTCCTGCCCCAGGGACTGCCTATCCTTGGGGAAAACACGCATACATATTTAATTATGTACGAGTGAACAACAACAAACAGAACACAGGTGGGAAGTGATGGTAAAGGTACTGGGGTTTTCATAGAAAAGATACCAATCATTTACCAAAATTTCCCTTAAGAAATGAATATTAAAACTGCGTAACTAGAAATAAACCATTTAAAAGTAGATATTACATTTTTAAAACGGTTTTTGATATAATCAATATGTGATCTGATTTAAATAAAGGGTTTGTAAAATGTAACAAACATATTTTTAAGAGTATAACTCTTGTAACTTATTAAAATTTCAGAAAAAAAGAAAAGTCTTTCTTCGTTAGTAATTATGTTGAATTTTTTTATTCATTTGAAATTTAGCTTAGAACATTTTAACAGATACCTATATAATAACTAATAGTTACCAAGCTATGACCTAAGATTCAACATTTTAGCTTCTTTCTATCACGCAGGTGGTTCCTTATGGCTCCCCTGAGCCGGAATTCCCCTTTTTCCTTCTATTGATTCTCCGAAATTTTAGTTAGTCTCTATTATGAACAATCATAGATACCCACAAACACTCTGGCACCGGTGCTATAGCTAGAGGGCAGCCGTCATTATATGAGTTGATTGTGTTTGGTTGGGGTCTTTGGCTCCGTCTTTTGTCTGTGGGCCTTTTTGCCGACACTTAAACTGCGCAGATAATTAGGTAGCAAACTAGAATTCTCCACCAACCCGCTCCCAGATGTCTGCGGGATGTATGTAAATTATAGTATTGTGTAAGCCGTAGTAAGCCTATCAGAGGCTGACTCACATTTTTCGGCTGGTGTGCAAAAAAAACTGTTTGGCATTTGGCAAAGAATGGGAATCGTGTTGAATGAGATCAGCTTGGTTCGGTGGCTAACTGGTTTCATTTCGGGCCCCTTCATTTGATGATTTCATTGAATTTCAATCGCCGCAAAGATGAATTGTAGCAAATGGGATGTCAGGCCTGATATGGTTTTTAATTTTTCTCTGATATTGCTAGCCCATTATTCAAAAAGCTTCCTTTTTATTTTGGTAAGCGATACTGTTGCTTGCCGTAGTTTTTGTTCAAATATAAAATAGCATTCATTTGTCTGTATTTATTTAAAAAATGCTTCCATTGATATGCCTTGTATATTTTTGCAGTATAATGACGTCATATCACAAGCAATTTTTTATATGTTTTAACTTTGCATTCATTTGCATACTTAAATCGTTGTTTTTTGTCGAAATAAATACACACAGCACACTTTCAATCGATTCGGCACATATAAATTGTCAATTCACATACATTGTATTTTCAACTTGCATTCAATAAATGGCTTGCCTTTAAGTATTTGAAATTGAAATTTGGTCAATTCCAATTTGATATTTATTGCCTGAAATCAATTTTAGTCATTGGTTTGATCAATTGATACAGCAAACTCATCGCTAGCCAGCCAATTAACCTTCAATTACAGACAATCTTCGCTGGGAATTCTTAGTGCGTCTTTGGGCACGTGCAAAAATGTCTTTATGAGGTATAAAAATATCTCTTGGTAATTCTCTGAGTTCCCATCTCGTTTTCGCGAGATTGATCTCGTTTAAAGCGGTATGGCGGTCTTTTTTTAAGTGATTCCCTTTTAATTGTCAGTCAACAAAAACTGATAAGCACATAATGATAGGTAATAAAATAATAAATACGGAAGCCAGTAAACAAATATTTAAAATTTATAATTTTGTATACACCTTAAAATTCTAACCTAGTTGACTTTTGGAAATACATCTATTAGCCATTTTTGGTCAGTCTCGTCTCAAAATTTGTTTGCTAAACTGTTCACCTAGAACCTAGATTTTTGAAACCCCATAGGAATTTTTCATCCATATACTGATGTTATACAGCACATTCCGTTAAAAATTAAATTAAAAATAACTGTTTGAGAAAAGAGCAACAGATAAACCAAATCGAAATGCTATTGGCCCGTTTAACCCATGTGCTGCCAGGGCGATCGCTGCGCCTTTTGGGCCAGACAGGAGGACCCCGTCTTTGGAGCTCCACTCAGTCCCAGATCACGAGTAATCCCAGGAGGATGCCAACCTTAGCGCAAGGGAAATCCGGGATGCCGAAGAGGGATATACTGGAAGTTGGGATGAGGAAGTACTCTAGGGAGTCAAGGGATCGCGATCGTTCACACTTGGAGAGTCGAACCAAGGGACCCTCTCTCAAGGACCGAATGATGGGGCCTCCTAGTGAAAATGCCTACTCCATGGGCAAAGGAGCTGCTGCAGGGGCAGCCTTGATGGGCCTCGTGGGTCTCTGCTACTATGGATTGGGTCTTTCGAAGCAGCCCAGTATCTACGATCACTCTGTGGTCTGGCCCCAGTATGTGAGGGATCGTATCCATGCCACCTACGCCTATTTTGGAGCCTCCTGCGGGGTTACAGCCGCATCGTCCGTTGCCATTTTCCAGTCGGACGCCATGATGTCCCTGATGATGCGTTCCGGGTGGATTGCCTCATTGGTTACCCTGGGACTGGTGATGCTCAGTGGGGCCGTTGCCCAGGGCATTGACTATCAGCCAGGATTCGGGGCCAAGCAGCTGGCCTGGCTCGTCCACTGTGCCGTTTTGGGGGCGGTCCTGGCGCCCATGTGCCTCCTGGGTGGACCCATCCTGACCAAGGCCCTTCTCTACACTGGCGGAATCGTGGGTGCCCTGTCCACGGTGGCCGCATGCGCCCCGAGTGAAAAGTTCCTCAACATGGGCGGACCCCTGGCCATCGGACTGGGCGTGGTCTTCGCCTCCTCCCTGGCCTCCATGTGGCTACCGCCTACCACTGCGGTTGGGGCGGGGCTGGCCAGCATGTCTCTGTACGGAGGACTGATCCTGTTCAGCGGATTTCTTCTGTACGACACCCAGAGGATCGTAAAGTCGGCGGAGCTGCATCCCCAGTACAGTAGCTCGCTGTACGATCCCATTAATCATGCCCTGGCCATATACATGGATGCCCTGAACATCTTTATCCGCATCGCAATTATTTTGGCGGGAGACCAAAAGCGAAAGTAATTATTCTTGACTCTTCGGACAAAGAAAGCAAATAATTAATTTCATCATATTTAGAAAACAATAGCGGGCTAAACGGGAACCCAATACTTGATTTATAAATATCTTAATAGTAACTTCTTTGGATTGGTCATTTGTGAGAGCATTAAACTTAAACTAAACAAGCTTTTATCATTTAATGGTTTTCGAAGTATCGAAAATAGTTAATACTATAATGAATTTCATTAATGTGGACAGCATAGAACAGCGGATTAAACTAAAATCGAAATTCCCAACTCAGTTTTCCTTTTAAATCCGTATTGATTACGAAAAACAATGAATTCTCTGTGGTCAGCTGCTTTTTCCATCTCAAGAAATGTGTTGTTTCAAGATTTCTGCGATTTTCAGCGTTCTTTTGTTCCGCATGCTTTATTTCTGACATTGCGCATACGTCGTGTATAACCGCGGCATAAAAATTCGTCTGTCAGTATGTGAAATTCTGTCGCTGGCCGTTCGTGCTCGCCTTCTATCTACCGCCCACACACACCAACACTCTTGTCGGCTTGTCAATTTCATTTAATTTTGCCGCAATTTCTTTTTCTCTATTATTTTTTTTTCCCAAAAGCTTTTGTACGGCGAAAACAGTTTTTTAAATGAATAAAGAATGAAAGAATTGCCGCGAGAAGAGCAAGCATTCTGATAAATGTATATGGTGCTATGTAGTATAAGGATTGTTCAATGAATGAGTTCAAATTTTAGCGCATTTTTCATTAAATTAATACACGCAAATCGGTTTAAGTTGTTTATTAAATATATTTACCGCATTAGGGTTAATAAAGTCAGCTTTTGACGATTAAATTATAACAAAATCGTATTAAATTTGTGCTGAGTTGTGGTCACATAACCTGCTGAAGTCTATTTACTGAATGTGATTGGATGGTTGCTGCAAGTATTACTTATATGTTTTAAACTCTATCTATAGCAAGCCATATATTCTGGTCCACATTACTTATATTAAATTGTAAGACAGAAATATTTTAGTTCATTCATTTTATCCTTGGACATTTTTATATGTTGTTTACATTTAATTGACAGCCCACACATCCTTCGGATGGCTCCTTGACCTGTAGATAGACCCTCCCTTTCTCCCGAAGCTCTGTCCTTCTGTAGGCTTTTGGCCTTCTTCTCAACCGGTTCATTCATGGCGCAGAAGCTTTCATTCTGCAGTCCGCAAATCGAGCTTTTGCAGCCTTGCCAAGGTCATCGAAAGTCCCATGTAAAATGTCTAGAAATAGAGGCCAACTTGTTATGGCCATTTTGAGACTGAAATTAAATTCTTGCTGTTTAATGTATCCACTTTTATGTGAGCACTAATCATAATGTTCGTGTGCTGTCATCTTTTTCAAGAAACTAACATGACCATGACTGTCTGGCAGTCAGTTGGTCAGACAATATTTGATGTTGCCTTAGATTATGGAGGTCTCACATTTCCTTCTATCGCGTGCCGGATTTGTCCTACGTCTAGCTGATAACGCGCAACCGGGAAGATTACGGATGTGTATGGGAAATTAATTGAATCATATGTGACATAAGTCGGGCTTATCGCTCCTCCGAGTGCATAAAAACACAACACAAGATCAGAGCGGTGTTAAAAATATTCCTACTGCTCTATAGATAAGGTGATCTAAATTTCAGGTTTGTAAGTCCTCATTGTTCCACTTGTTTTATTAAAAGTATATACTACCTATAATATAAGTGATATGTCCACAAGTAATAAATATGTTCAAAAAACACTTACTTGTATATATATTGAATTTATTCAAATGCAAATATTTTTATTGTTTATGTATGCTTTAGGCAATGTATTGAAATAATATATTTTCGTTCGTTTTATCCGTTTCAATTAAATTCTGATTTTGTATAATTTTTTTAAAGTGAAGTTTATTTGCTTTGCAATTTGTGGAATTCCTTTGAGGCTTTTTTGGGTCTGCTGTCGTCACTTGTTGCTAATAAGCAGCTGAATATTTTCCATCTTAGTGTAAGCAGAATTTTCTTGTTTATTTTGCTTTAAATTTATAGCTGCAGTGGCCAAAAATAACACATAAATCAGTTGTGACACCCAAGATCGTTTAGCAGATACATTCTTAGCGGAAGCAACGGAACAGAAAAACAAAATCAAATTTTAAGCAGCACAAAATGAGAGCACATTAAATTTTACTATCTGCACTATTTGTACTTTGTTTGCTTTTCGCCAAATAAAAATGAAATTAACCATGGACAAAGTGAAATATGCGGGTTCCATGAGCTTTAAACATTTTAAAAATTGCTCAGTGGTCAGTCCGTCGAGTTAGGGTGCGTTTGAGGTCCTTTAATAGAGAAATGACCTTGGTACACGCAAACCCGGCATTAGGACACAGTTTTTATAGCTAGGGCAGACCCGTCATAAACATTATTTATATTGACTTTCCCTATTTTTATAGGTGCCAACCATTAGCTTAAGCGCTCCTTCGCCATAACAATTTCCATGGCTAAGTTCAAGGCCGCATTTTCAGACAGTCGCTGCCAAATTGCTCCGGATGTATTATTCACATCATGCGTTGGGACTTTGGCTTCCATCTCGGTCGAAAAATGGGCAACAGCTCGTTCCGGCTATTAATAAACAAAAATTTTGATATATTTTCGCCGCCTTGGGGTTTCTTCAGCTGCTCATGACATTTGCAAACAACGGCAACGCGAACAGTACAAAGAGTGGGACAGATCTCTTAGATATAGCCAGGTTTTTGTTTTATCTCTTCTGCATATGACAAATAGGGACTGACGTAGGCATTAATTAAAAGTTGAGGCACGTTCTTTTCGCCGGGTGAGCTCACAAACTACCGTCCCTTACATCATTCAATCGAAAATTGGAAACAATGACAGAAATGGTTTAATTTTGTATACATGACTTGAACATTATGGCAACCGATAAACAAACGCTTCATGGTGATCAAAAATTGGGCGTCTATACGGGAAGAAATGTTCATATTTGCGCACTTATGAAATTATTTTTTGGGTACTAAATCTATGAATGTCTCGAACACCTTATCAGGCAACCTTGATGTCTTTATTTAGACAATTAAAAATTGCACCTCTGACTATTTGGGTTATTAGTTTGCTGAAAACATAGCACCTCATTCTATTTTTAAAGTACAACGTCTGTAAACAATTGCCAAAATGCGGAATGCCGAGCCAAAAAGGTTTAATACACTTTCGAATTTCAATGGCCTTTGCCTTGAATTCCTGCACTCAAATGACTTATTTTGCGTATGCTCTTATCTTTTCAAACGCGGCACCGTTGGAATTATGGGTTAATAGTTCCCCGAAATAAAACTGCTTCACTTTTAAGTACAAAATGTACAGAATCTATAAACACGTAACCCAGTTGTGAGTGCTTGCTGAAAGTCTAGATCACTTTTGAATTTCAATGGCCTCTACCCTTGAATTCCTACACTCAAGTTGAATGACTTACACAACTCGAAAAATTACCCGAAAATTTGTTTGGCTAGCGGTTTGTTTATCTTCTGATACCAGGGCGCGTCAGATTTTGTTTGAACGCTACTCAAAATAAATAAGCGAAAAACAAAAAATCAAAGCCAGAAAGAATAACAAAATAATGCAAACTGATTTAATACGAATCGTGGAGAGTTGCGGGCCTGATAAATGGCGCACACCTGGCCCATCAGCCACGAGCTGATAAAAAATTAACCTTATCAGCAGAACACTAAGCGGAAAAGACGCTCCCATCAATATCGTCAGAGCTGACGTCGTTTATTGTACCTGATTAATGGCCGCAAATTCCCATTCTCGCTGATTAGGCTTAGATCTATTGGTGGAAATCGGGAAAAATATTGTGAAAACCCCCAAGCTCACTCCGGTCTCTTTCCCTTCCAGAATGGTGGATTTTAAGGTCCAACAACGTCGCTACAGAACCAGCGAAAAGACTGTCGTCAGCACCACCTACGGACCCATCAAGGGCGTGAAGAGGAAGTCCATCTACGGACAGTCCTACTTCAGCTTCGAGCGGATCCCCTTCGCCATGCCGCCGGTGGGCGAGCTGCGCTACAAGGCCCCTCAGCCCCCGGAGGTCTGGACGGAGGTCAGGAGCTGCACCTCCCAGGGACCCAAGCCCCTCCAGAAGCACTTCGTGTTCGAGATGACCGATGGCTCCGAAGACTGCCTCTACCTCAATGTCTACACAAAGAATGTGAGTGAAGTGAAGTTATAGAAGGTTTTTCCATTATAAGAATAAAGACTAATAATTAAAGTGGTTACTTAAAACTATCTTTATTAAGATAAACCTATATGGAATTATAAATATAATATTTATTACATTTCTTCCCAGTTATATCCCACCAAACCAATGCCTGTGATGGTCTGGATCTATGGCGGTGGCTTTCAGTTTGGCGAGGCCTCGCGGGAGTGTTACAGTCCAGATTACTTGCTGCGGGAAGATGTGGTGGTTATTTCCATCAACTATAGATTAGGACCACTAGGTAAGAAACATTTTAAGCTCAAAGCAATACAAATATATTTATATATTATGAAAACAATCTAGGTTTCCTCTGCCTGGACGATCCCGAGCTCGATGTTCCAGGCAATGCGGGTCTCAAGGATCAAGTGCTGGCCCTTCGATGGGTCAAGGCTAACTGCTCCCGTTTCGGAGGAGATTCCTCAAATATTACTATATTTGGGGACAGTGCGGGAAGTGCATCGGTCCACTACATGATGATCACAGAGCAGACGCGCGGACTTTTCCACAAGGCCATCTGCATGTCGGGAAACACGCTTTCCCCCTGGGCAGTGACTCCTCAGAGAAATTGGCCCTATCGATTGGCCGTTCAGGCGGGTTATACGGGTGAAAATAACACCCGAGATGTGTGGGAGTTTCTGAATAACGCCAAGGGATCCGACATCATCAAGGCCAACGGAGAACTGTGCATCGACGAGGAGAAGAAGGAGAGAATTGGCTTCTCATTTGGGCCCGTGATAGAACCTTATGTAACCAGCCACTGTGTGGTGCCTACTAAGCCCATCGAAATGATGCGAACCGCCTGGAGCAACAGCATCCCACTGATCCTCGGAGGCGTTTCCAACGAGGGACTACTCTTGTACACCGAGACCAAAACGAATCCCAAGTGTCTAAATGAGTTGGACGACTGCCGGTTCGTGGTGCCCATCGAATTGAATATGGACAGGGAGAGTGCCCTGTGCCGGGAGTACGGCGATCAGCTGAGACAGTGCTACTACGGCGATAAGACCCCGAGTCTGGAAACCCTGCATGAATATCTTCAGGTAAAACTATTGGATGTTCTCATCACCATTTATTAATTTCAAGAAGTAACATAAGCTCTTATTTTGTTGCTTAAGTCACTGCAGTACAAAATTAGTCATATGTTTTAAATTAGGAAAAACCAAGATGATTTTTGAAATTGTTTGAGTAAAGTTTAAGCAACGGTATGAATCAAATATAAATGCAAGTACCGACAGCAAAATAGCTGCAAATATACATTTCAAATTTTTTAAAGTGATAAGCTCCGATAAAATAAAAATATATTTGTGGAAACCCAAAATGGTTCCTAAATCTGTTTGAGTAAAGTTTGAGTAACGCTATGAGTCATAAATTGCAAGTAAATTGCAGCAAAATAATTCCAATTATAGATACGAAATATTTATGAAGCGAAAAGTTCCAACAAGCTGAAGTACTCATATTTTTCTTAAATTTTATAAACCCAAGAAGGTATTTGAAATGGTTAAAGTAAAGTTGAAGTTAAAGTGATAAGCTCCGATTAAATGTACATTTTTTATTGCTGAGTCTTTAAGTAAATTTAGAGAATTTTGAATTTATTTATTTATAGAGGAATATCTATCCTAAATTCAATAAATTGGTTGGGCAACAATGTGGAAGTGCAAAATTTGTAAATAATATAAGTATATTTAAAAGTGTACCCAAACTTATATTAAAATATAAAAGTTCTTGATATTAAATTTATCCAGGTTTAGCAAACTGCTGTTCTTAGTGAGACATTTTTGAGGTCAGGCGTCGGATAATATACCAAACTAACACGCGACTTTATAACAACACACATCCTTTTTATACCCGTTACTCGTAGAGTAAAAGGGTATACTAGATTCGTCGGAAAGTATGTAACAGGCAGAAGGAAGCGTTTCCGACCCCATAAAGTATATATATTCTTGATCAGGATCACTAGCCGAGTCGATCTAGCCATGTCCGTCTGTCCGTCTGTCCGTCTGTCCGTCTGACCGTCTGTCCGTCTGTCCGTCTGTCTGTCCGTCCAGATGAACGCTGAGATCTCGGAAACTATGAGAGCTAGGCTATTGAGATTTGGCGTGCAGATCCCTGAGCTTCTTACGCAGCGCAAGTTTGTTTCAGTAGACTGCCACGCCCACTCTAACGCCCACAAACCGCCCAAAACTGTAACTCCTACAGTTTTGATGCTAGATAGAAAATTTTAACTGAAATGTATTGTTCTCATCAATACCTATCGATTGACCTAAAAAAAAGTTTGCCACGCCCACTTAAACGCCCACAAACCGCGAAAACCTGTGACGCCCACAATTTGCATGCTAGATAAAAAATTTTAACTGAAATGTATTGGTGTCGTCAATACCTATCGATTGATCCAAAAATAATTTTGCCACGCCCACTCTAACGCCCATAACGCTTAAATCTGTCTACCGCCGGTAGGTGGCGCATTTTAATTTCGCTTTGCTGCTTGCATATCTCCATTTCCCTTTGAGTAACGGGTATCTGATAGTCGAGGTACTCGACTATAGCGTTCTTCCTTGTTTTAGTTGAAAACAAATTCTAAAGCTAGACCTTTTTTCTATATTTTCAGATGGTCTCCCACGAGTACTTCTGGTTCCCCATCTACCGCACAGTATTGTCCCGCCTGCAGTACGCCCGCAGTGCGCCGACGTACCTGTACCGCTTCGACTTCGACTCGAAGCACTTCAACCACCTGCGCATCCTGAGCTGTGGCAAGAAGGTGCGCGGCACCTGCCATGGCGACGACCTGTCCTACTTGTTCTACAACTCGCTGGCGAGGAAGCTGAAGAACCACACGCGGGAGTACAAGTGCATCGAGCGGCTAGTGGGCCTGTGGACGCACTTCGCGGCCTGCGGAAACCCCAACTTCGATCCGGAACAGGAGGACCTGTGGCAGCCCGTCGATCTGGATTCCGTCGAGAAACACCAGCTGAAGTGCCTTAACATATCCGACGAGCTGAAGGTGATCGACGTGCCCGATCTTAAAAAGTTGATGGTCTGGGAGAGCTTCTTCCGACGCGACGAGTTGCTTTAGGGATGTGCAGAATCCATCTAGACTAGATATGTAGCTTTACTTGTATGAGGGTGGGTCATATTTGGAGACCAAGAATAATGGGGCTTGAATATTATAATAATTGAAGAAATAACTGAATCTAATATTTTCAATCTAAGATATTTTCTACAAGCAAATCTTAGTTTTTCTATAATGAAGAGACCATATCCCCGATAAAAGACCACCGTTTTATGTACAAATGTGGTAAAAATGACCTTAGATTATTAAATATTTTTGGTATCCATTTAAAGTAAACCCACCCTAACCATTTATGATCCCGAAAGCTTTACGTTGAAGCCTCTGTTTGAAACAATGCAAAGCGTAGCTTAAGTCCCGAAACAAGAGAGTTTACTGTTGTTAAGTTTGTTAACAAGAAGAATTATATGTGTGTTAAAGTTCATCCGTTTCTGTCTATATCTTATCGGATCGAATCTGTAGTTTAAGCAGGCTGTTTGTATATAGTTATGACTCATAACCTATAAGTGTGAAACAAGTCGCAACTGAAGTACCTTCTTTGAGAAACTACCAAACCAACTAAACCAAACTAAACAAGACAGCCAAGGAATCTGAGCAAAGAACTTATTTTTAACGTTCCTTTAAGACTCGCTAATAACTTTAAAAAGCCAACTAATATCAACTGTATTTTATACAATTCAATTTCGAGATTGTTTTAAGTCCTCAGCACAAACCTAAGTTAAGAGTTCCATTCTTTTTTCTTCCATTACCAAACGCACGCACATATTTACAACAAGGAAATTTCCATTTGTGTTTCAATAAGTCTAAATTTAAATGAGACAACTAGTTAACCATAACAAATTTCTTTATATTCGTAGCCTAAGTCTTTTTAGATATTTACCTTTTGTATGCATAGGTTGTTTTTGGTAAAATGTTATATTTGAACAAGCAAAAAACCTGTCCAAGTTTTACATTGTTTATAGAATATGAAAAGAAAACAAACAAAACCTATTTATATGAAGTCGTTTATGAATGTCCACAAGAAGATAACGATTTAAGTCAGCCGGCTAAAAGTAGTTTACCTAAGAATTCTCTGTGTATTCGAGTATGTTGCAACTACAAATTTATTGTCGAAAAGCTTCAAAGTCTTGTGATGCAAATAATCTATGAAATTTAAAAATGTATAGATCCATATTTTATAAAAAAATAATTCCTTTGTATTTTAAAACAAAGAAATAAAAGATTTAAAAAGTGCTTTAAAATAGTATTCACACAATAAAAATTAAAAATTACTTGGTATTTTTGACAAAACTGAGACACTTTAGCCATATCTCAAATAAAAATGTGCCGCAAGTCTACACCAACTGGGATTTTATGCAGCAGTAAGTATTAAAGCCAAGCACTAATGAAATCAGCAAACTCAACATTTTCATTATCACGTCCATAAAACTTCCCATCGGAATCATAAGTCGCGTCACAAATTTCAGTCTGGCCCTCATGTGAGTTATCAGTCTGACGAAATATCTACAAATTATCGGAAATGCGTTGATGCGAAAACTTAATACCTAATACAAATCGCGAGATCAAATACAGCGTGACTAATTCCTTGCTAATTGGAACCTTTATTCTTCGCATTTGGTTCGTTGCGGTAATTAGCTCTAATAATTGTATAATATCTCAAAGTGAATGTCAAAGCAATTTAATCAAAATTTGTTTGATCTGGTCGAGTTAATGTCGGTGATTGTGCCAACAGATGTGAATCAGCTGCTAAGTGCTAATAGTTAGTGTAATCTATATCGGTTAGCTGACATGGTTTTCCTATTTCTGATCGTGCATCTACATATCAGTTATATTTGGGACCCGCAGCTCGTCAAGTCGAAATGGATGCACTACTGAAAATTATCTTATTGATCAGGTAGGTTCAATAAATCATTTAATACTTGTATAATATTGAAAAAGTGTTTTCAGTTTTGTTTTAATTGCTGTAAGCCTACACTTTACAATGTGTGATGATGTTCCATCTGCCGAAGCCGACACGGTTGTAACTGAAAGTGAGGAGCACTATACCGCATCAGATGACTACGACACTTAACGGATACATATAGAACCCTATAAAGCCCAATCATGGGTAAATAAAAAGGTTATCTTTCGGCACCGTGGCTATGTTTATTATTGACAAACCACCACTGACAAGTGGCTTTTTTATTTAAAAAATCAAGTTCATTGTCACACGAACGATTAAAGTATGCCTACATTTGTGTAGTGAACAGTTTGAACTTCATTCGCGTCTTAATTATTTTAGTAGAACGTGTTGGGTACATCCAACTTCTAAGGTAGAACGGAGTATCTATAAGCAGTGCGATTTTACTGTCATAGATATTTCTTATCATCGCCAAGAATATTTTCTAGGTATTTGCAAAGTATTTCTTTATCAGTCGGTTCAATTTTTTTTATTTTATACGATGGGAATTATTTGCACAATTTTTTAGAGGGCACTATAAAATTGTGCAAATAATTCCCCGAAACCAATTTTATAATTTCAAAAGAATACATTTTGGGATAAGGTTTTAAAATGATACATTTTTTAGGGTTTGGATAACTTACTTTGATGGCTAACTTCCTATTTAAATTAGGTAATGTTTTTGGTAATGACAAAATCCATATTATTTACAGTGTAGTTAGGGGTCTTTACTCTCATTAGAAGTGCTAAGAAAAGCTTAAACAATAGTTGGGAATTGTAAATAAGCTAAGTTAGTCTTCAAGGTGATCTTGGGGCGTTGGTTAATGGGTTGAATACTGAATTTAGGAGCTTGATCATTATTACTTTTAGGTAGTATCACAACATTCAGCATTTTGTATGAACACAAAGAGCTTTTCAAATAAAAGCTTTATCTAAGCAGTTCAGCATTGCCAGCAGCAACCAGAAATATCAGTTTTACCGAAGACCTCGTTCGTAAGATACCCAGTACTTCATTTGATAATCTTGCATTTCAGGTTTCTAAAAAATACTTATACTTACAAATTTTATGATTGTGTTAAGGGATTTTAAATTTTCAGATTGGTATATAATAGTACTGATTAAGAATGTTATTATTATTTATATTATTATGTATATCTTGCGGTCGGAAACGCTTTCTTTTTTTTTGTTACGTAGATTTAAGCGAGTCAAAGATATTCTTTTACGATGATAGTAACTTGTACATATATAAAGCCGAATCATAACAGTAAAGAAAAATCGGAAAGTGAACTATGCAACCGGTATTTGGAGAGCAGAGAGCTAGTAAAACAACAGCTGATTCAGGTGAGCCACGTTTCCGCGGTTGAATCACATTGAATAATTGAGAGGGAGAGAGTTTGGTGAGTGGGATTATCATCGTCATGGTAAGACCCCGATCACCACACATCGGTCAGTTGGTGCAGCACGCTCTTGAAGAGCGCTTTATTTGTTCCGTTCAGCGATTACCCACCGTGTTTTCCTAGCCGGTCGGGTTAACTTGGATAGCTTCGAGTTTATTGTGACACTTTCCCCGAATCGGCGCTCTTTATCGAAGCGTGTGTGACAAACATAAATAACCAGTGTGATTTGGGTGTTCGTGAAAAAGAGTGCGCGGAAAGACATACGAAATGACCACCCGCTTTATGGATATACTAAAGCTGACCTTTAAGTGAGTTTTTTCTTAGTCTCAGTTTATCGCCAAGCGTTAAACGGTTTTCTGTGTTTTGAGGTCTCGCGTCTTGGTTTTGCAATAACTTCTGCTGCAAGGCTGCTGCATACAAATGCACACATGTGCACTTGGGAAAATTTTAGAAATTTTCTTATAAAAATCTTTTTTTCCTCAATAGGTTTTTAAAAAAATGCATATTTGATATTTTAATCTTGAATAGCTTCCTAAGCAATACTTGTTTTAGGAACCATTGCTTCAGCTTTACGATTTGACTTCGAGTTTTATGTGACATCATTTTCTTTCTTTACAATTTTCCAGCCTCATTTAATTGGTTATAAAATGTTTTCCTAAAATTATTATCATTATTACAATAAGCCTTATCTAATATTGGTTTTTGGAATTGAAACCAACGATATCTCAAAATATCAAGCGTCTAATCGTGATATTTAAAAATTGTTAGTTTTAACAAAAACTGGAATTTAAAAAAAAAATCTTTTTGGGTACATTTTCAAATTTAAGTAGTGTCTTAACTTGCATTTTAATCTTACCAATGTTATCATGCTTCAAATTAAAAACTAATGTTACTCTGATCTTCATGTTAGGTACTAGTACTTACAAATGAATAAAAACGTGGTGATTCTTAATTTTTCGAATGTGTATTTTTTCATTCCTATCATCTTCCTTTGAATCTTAACTTGAAATATGCTGTTTCGATACTAAGAGATACTTAAAGTAAACAAATTACCCTAAGAATAGTTATGTTTGAGAGTAGGAATTTACCAAAACATGGGAAATAGTTATTGTTGATAAAAAATGGGTTGTACTTTGAGTTCCTAGTCAATTTTCTAAATTTTTTTCTCTGTGTACAGTGTACGTACACACATCAATTTATGTGTCTTGCGTTGGTGAAATTGTTGCGCAAACTTTGCTGCATTTTTTTGTTTTTTGGTTGTATGTTGCTTGTTTTCTGTTGTTTTGCATAAACTTAATGATGCTGCTTCTTCTCCTGCTCATTTCTGTCTGTTTTGTTTTCTTTGCCTCTAGTTTTCCCCATATATTTTTCACCCGTGACTCGGCGATGCTCCACTGTTGCGGCATTCGTTAGTCTTTTTTGTTATTTTGATTTGTGTTTACTATTTTTTGCACGTTTTCGCAGGTTTATTAGCAGTTTTGCGGGTAGTTAGTATTTTTAACATAAATTATTGCACAGCACACACGATTGTGTTAATTGCGTGTATCTATATTTATTTATCACTATTTATTTATGTGGCTTTTCAATTGAGGAAATCACAGAAGTAGGTTAGGTCAGTTTCAGTTAGGAGTGTATTAGGCTGGCTACTCATAGGTACATAAGGCACTAAATTAAATTAAGACATTATAAATACCATTTCTTTGAAGTTTTCACCGCACTGTTCTGCAGATAAATTTTTTGACGACTCATAACTCTGGCTTGAATTTAAATTGCAGATAAAGGCACTTATATGTTTTTGATCGTTTATTTTTGCACTCGGGAACAGCTTTAATAATCCCTGCTAGTTAAATCCATATTTTAATGGATACACGTTCTGTATAATATAGCACCGAGGCAAGTTAATTGTTTGTTTGTCAATACACACGCATTCGGAATTATACTGATAAGTTCCCCGGGTTCAGGGTTCATTTCACTTCAGGTGATAGGTTTTCCATAATTTCTGCTCTATGGGCATGACACGACAGCTTTTACCTCAACTTTTTATAGCTAGGCATTTAGAAGCTCGATTTATAAGTTTTTGAATAAATACATAAACATTTACAGTTGTTTTACTGACTTATTTATACCTTATTGGTTTATTTTGTAAGTCATGCCATTATTCGCTAGCCCAATGACTTTTAAATACTTCAAATGTAATACCTACAACTTTGTCGCACATTTGTGCACATGTTTGCCTTTCTTACTTTATTGATTGGTTGTCGAATGCTGATAAGATTGATTTTAAGTTTGATGAATGAAAACCTAAGCGATTTGAATGAGTTTCCCACATAAAAGAGTGTTTAACTTTAGGTTAAGTGAGCGAATTAGTCTTAATTTATTACCTTCATTTGTTACGGCTGGCTACCTTGCTACTGGGTATTTCGGGCGTTAGGCCATATAAAGCAAAATACACTGGCAAGAAATATTTTAATAACAAAATCGCTTTGTCTGAAGTGTTGAAAAACGTTATATATTGCACAATGGCTTTCACAGAGCTACAGCAGTCACGTACTATCCAAACTGCTGTACAATCTGATCTCGCCTTTCTCTCGATTCCAGTGGTAATTACCTATTTGTATGCATTCGTGTGCAATGATGTTGGATCAAACTATGTCAGTGCATTTGCAGAATGCCAGTTAAATATACGACTTGCGCCTCAGTCGAAGGTGCGCAGTGTGAACAAATAAAAATAGGCCATTAAATGCAATAAACCGCCGCACGCCCACCCACAAATTAGCCATAAAAATCAGAAACAAAAAATCTCAGGTATAAACAAAGGAGAGTTATAGAAAATAGAGAACTGGTCGTGCATGCAAAACGTTAAGCATTGAGGTTGGTCAAAAGCCGTTGATGGTTCGCAAGACTTTTAAAGCCACAAAGACCTTCAACGACATTGAAAGTGGTTAGCCGGCAACTTGCTATAGATGCTCGCCGTCGAGTGCTTACTGTAATCATGTCCCTAATGCGTGACTCCGCTTACCGGATTAGATTCGCAGACGTTATTATATAAATATTTTGATGAGGAGCGGGGTATTAATGGCCCAATGGCTATTATGACATTTCCAAGAAGTTTGCAAAGGGTTTTTAGGATCCCATACCTTATAAACGAGATATCTACTTGTTAAAACTGAGTATTTCGGCACGAAACCTGTATAAAACAATATAAACGAAATGATAGTTGCTTATAAGTGGTTTTACCTTAAAAAAACTTATTAATCAAATTTTATTGAAACCTTTTTTTATACCATTACTAAATCTATCTGTCTTATTAAAAAATATCTTTTTAGGGTGCTCAGTTTTAAGTATGAGCAGCGCAAGTTGGCCACATGCATATATTCTGTGATAAAGACGAAGTTGGGACCTGTTCGCGGAGTAAAAAGGAACACAATTTGGGGCGAAAGCTACTTCAGCTTCGAGAAGATACCCTTCGCAAAGCCCCCATTGGGAGAACTTCGCTTCAAGGCCCCGGAACCAGTGGAACCATGGGATCGGGAATTGGACTGCACTTCGGCGGCAGAGAAGCCCCTGCAAACACACCCCTTATTCCGAAAGTACGCGGGCTCAGAGGATTGCCTCTACTTAAATGTTTATGCTAGGGATGTAAGTTCCTAACAAGTCAATATTTTCTTATTTATATATATTATTACCCTTGTATTTTAGTTGCAACCGAATAAACTTCGCCCTGTGATGGTTTGGCTTTATGGAGGAGGATTTCAAGTTGGAGAGGCCTCTCGCGATATGTACAGTCCCGACTTTTTTATGTCGAAGGATGTTGTCATTGTCACTGTGGCCTATCGACTAGGAGCCTTGGGCTTCCTGAGCTTAGATGATCCGCAGTTAGATGTGCCCGGAAACGCTGGTCTCAAGGATCAAATCTTGGCCCTTCGTTGGGTGCAGCAAAATATCGAGGCTTTCGGCGGTGATCCCAAAAACGTCACACTCTTTGGCGAGAGTGCTGGAGGAGCATCCACCCACTTCCTCACACTAAGTCCCCAAACCGAGGGACTTATCCACAAAGCCATCATTATGTCGGGCAGTGTTTTGTGCCCCTGGACGCAGCCACCGAGGAATAATTGGGCCTATCGCCTGGCCCAGAAATTGGGATACACTGGCGATAATAAGGACAAGGCCATCCTTGAGTTCTTGAAATCAGTAAATGGTGGCGAGATTGTTAAGGCCTCCGGGGCAGTCCTCAGCAATGACGAAAAGCATCACCGAATTATGATTGCCTTTGGACCTGTTGTAGAACCCTACACCACCGAGCACACTGTGATTGATAAATCACCCCGAGATCTAATGAATAATAGCTGGAGCGACAGGGTGCCCATGATGTTCGGAGGCACCAGTTTCGAGGGGCTGCTTTTCTATGCAGGTGAGTGAGTTCCTATATGAGATAAGTAAACATATTTATTTATATTATTACAGAGGTTACAAGGCGGCCAGCAACCCTGGATGAGGTGGGCAACTGCAAGAACATGCTACCGAACGATCTGAGCCCCACTTTGGATCCCAAACTGCGCGAAAACTACGGATTGCAGTTGAAGAAAGCGTACTTCGGCGACGAACCCTGCAACCAGGCCAACATGATGAAGTTCCTGGAACTGTGCTCATACCGCGAGTTCTGGCACCCTATTTATAGGGCTGCTTTGGCTCGAGTCCGCCAGTCGAGTGCTCCCACCTATCTATATCGCTTCGATCACGATTCGAAATTGTGCAATGCCATCAGGATTGTGCTTTGTGGTTATCAGATGCGAGGTGTTTGCCATGGCGACGACATCTGCTATATATTCCACAGCATGTTGTCCCACCAATCAGCGCCAGATTCCCCGGAATACAAGGTAATCACCGGAATGATCGACATTTGGACGAGTTTCGCCGCCAACAGTGATCCCAACTGCGAAAGTATAAAGACTCTGAAGTTCGCTCCCCTCAAAAACGAAACGGATTTCAAGTGCCTCAATATTAGGGAGCAGTTTGAAGTCAAAGATCTCCCTGAATTGCAGAAAATCGAATCAGTGTGGAACAGTTTTTACGCCCCGAATCAACTGTAGATGCAGTGCATCAAAAGTAGGGTTTTATAGCTTTAGCTGTCTCAATTCCATGGATTTGGATGATCTTAATTTCTGTAAATACTCTGTACATATGTTATGGTTATTTTAAGTTTGAGATGTTAATTGTTTAATATGAAATATTTTGTTTAGGGTTACCATGACATAGATTCGATCTTACAGGGTCTATTAATAGAATAAAACTATAATTACATTTTTGATACAAGGCATAAAATTGAACCAATTTTAATATAACTGAATGTATACCTATTCAGTTAAAGTAATTTTTATAATCATTAGACCCAGAAAGTAACGTGGTGCTATTTTGTGCTTTAAAAATAAAAGAACGGAAACAAAATATTTAAAATGTTTTCGTCAAATGGCAAATAAATTGAGCGCTAGACAGAGATTAGTGCATTTTTAGCAGACTTAGACAGAAACACTTTTATAACTAAATCAATTTTTTTTGAAAATGTTGCCAAAGAATTTTTTGATTTCGACTCCAAAATGAAAGCTTTTTCATGAAGTATCTTTCCTCTGAAATATTCTCCTCTGAAGGCTTACTCGTATTTTTGCTGTATTTTTTAAATATTTACACTTCCGTGTCGAAGATCCGCTTAAAGCTTTAGTTCAGTGTCAGTTGGGGACATCGTGTTACTAAACCTGCCGGTGTTTGTAAACGTTTATTTTTCGTTCATCTATAAGGCTAACACCAGGCAGAGCCATCAGCATATAGGTACGGACAACCCTTCCACCCACTTGGCTATATGCTGATGTGACATTTATGTGTGTAAGCCGACGCTTGACAATCAAAGGGGACAACAATTTCCGCAATGCCACCGCCAACAACGATGGGCGGGATGACACCAGGGAGCGTGGGAGTGTAGAAAGAATGAAAAAAAATTCCATTAAAATTTTTGCAAGTTTTTAATTCGTTTTTTTTAGGCAGTAGGGTTCTGCCGGAACACGGCCAAAATGTTTGTGTGGTAAATGCAAAGGGGGTTTGTTCGCCGTGTGTTCGGGATGCGTGTTCCCATCAGCAACGTGAAAATTTCATTTCGTCGACGGGCGGGTGGTCGCAGAGAGTTGGGCAATTTTTCGTTAAATTTTTCCTATATATAAAATTTTTTTTGTTCAGAATTAGACTGTGTTATGGTCATGGATGTGGCATGCGGCCGGGCGTGACCAGCGGGTGAGGGGTTCCTAAAGGGGGATTTTCCAGGAGGGGTTAGCGTTAGCGCCTGGATCCCGTTCATGTGCACAGGGTGTAAAAATGGGCGTTAACTCAATAAATTAGAATTTTTTCCGTTGCACAAAATTGTTTGAGAATGCGATTTCTCGTTTTACACATTCCTCTTTCCATTCCTGGTGCTGGCGTTTGATTAAATATTTTTCAATTCGATTTTAATGAATTTGTGCATAAAGTCAGGTTTTAATTTCAGACGAAGGGATTAAGTAAAACTAATTTGTACAGTTGAAATTGAATTGTCTAAAAATCAAGTAACATGGGTAAATATTTTGGTTTGGAAAGCTTCTTCTTTTTTTCAGGGCCGGGGCCTAATATGAAAAACTACCCGGATTTTCCGAACTTAGTAATTTTGAGTAAACAAAAATGTGGATATCGGGAGAGCCACATAAAGAGCAGATCACCCTTTTTATTCCAAATTATAGGAAACCCTACCTCATTTTATAAACAACCCTTGCACCTTAATATGTAATTGGAAGAAAACTACTACAGTCCTTGGAGAACTTTTTATATATCTATAAATTTTATTCTTGGTTACCATTAATAGCTTAGTGAAATGCACCAATCGTTGTGCCTTATAGTTATATATTATGTTATTTTTTATCCGTTTATTCGTTACTTAATAACTTTTTAAAATTTGTTAAAATAATAGTGACAGTTTGGCAGCGTTCTGTATGTTCTGCAAAACAGTTTAAATATGCTTCCTATAACCTCGACATTTTTATTACTTTTTCATGTGGGCTAGCACTATTTATAAAAAAATGTTCCGCTTTATTTGTTTTATTTGTTTTACTTTGGCCAGTACTGCGCACTGAATTGCAAATTGTTTAATTTATTTCATCAAGTTTGCTGTAAGTGTTAAACAAAAAAGTCAGCTTACCCTGACCGAGGCTTTTAACTGAAATTTCTGTAAATAGACACTTAATTTAATATGTTTTGGAAGCTGCATATTTTCGCACTAATAGTTTGGAGCTTCTTTTTTGTAACCAGTACAGATGATGAATTTTTTCCGCCACCGCAGAAAAGTATGCAGCGTACATAAATGTTTTTTTAGTTTAATATTTCCCGAGGGCAGTGTGTAGGTGCGTGCCCGGCAGTGTTTGCCAGCATAAGCCATTTTCATCCGCCGTGTTGCCACTTGTCGTAGGGGGTTCCCCCGCTTGTTGCTTATCGCAGTCACTCGTCGGATGTCTGATCATATTTGTTTGCGGTCTGAACTGCGGCGGCCGCTTAACAAAAAGTGGTCAGCACACACAACAACCACAATTATAATGGCCG